GCGGATTAATCACCCACTCTCACTCCGACATGCTCGCACTGAGCACTCTCTCACTGCCCCTCACTCTCGCAATCTGCCTCTCACTCAATCCCTCCACCCCCCCCCCACGAACTCTCTCAATCCTTCCATCAACTCAAAATCCTGCCGCCCGACTCGGAATTACACCACGCACGTGCCACGCACGCGCATCGCGCATCATGGTGATGGCGACGACGATGATAATGATGATGTTGATGGTGGCGGTGTGTATGATGATGGTAGTGGCGGTGTGTATGATGATGGTAATGTTGATGGTGGTGGTGTGTATGATGATGATGCTAGTGGCGGTGTGTATGATGATGGTAATGTTGATGGTGGTGGGGTGTATGATGATGATGCTAGTGGCGGGGTGTATGATGATGGTAATGTTGATGGTGGTGGGGTGTATGATGATGATGCTAGTGGCGGTGTGTATGATGATGGTAATGTTGATGGTGGTGGTGTGTATGATGATGATGGTAGTGGCGGACTGTATGATGATGGTAATGTTGATGGTGGTGGTGTGTATGATGATGGTAATGTTGATGGTGGTGGTGTGTATGATGGCTCAGCCTCAAATGAGTACCTGGTGCGGTGTGTTTCACATCACCACTGGGGAGACAAAGGCGGTCGGGCGTGGTCCTGGCCACCCACCTCCTCGTGTACCGCGCCGGCCTTCATAGGTACTCGCTAAAAGCACTTGCCCCAACAGTCTGTTAAGGCTACACGGGGGACCTTTGTCTTTGGTGTGTATTATGATTGCAATGTGCATGATGATGATGATATTATTATCATCTATATCATGGTCGTGGTGAGAGTAATGATGCTGCTGCTTATGATTGTATAAATTATTATAATAGTTGTGCTGATGGTGATGATTAAGCTGTAATATGTATCATCATGATGATGTTGCTACTGCAGCTCCTGCTGCTGCTGTATCTGATGATTATGATGCTCGTAACATTGTCGTTGCTGCTGATGATGATGGTAGTGTTTATGGTGATGATGATGGCGGTGATGATGATAGTGTTTATGGTGATGATGCTGGTGGTGATGGTAGTGTATGGTGATGATGGCGGTGGTGGTGATGGTAGTGTATATGGTGATGATGGTGGTGGTGATGATGATGGTAGTGTTTATGGTAATGATGATGGTAGTGGTGATGATAGTGTTTATGGTGATGATGGTGGTGGTGGTGATGATGATGGTAGTGTTTATGGTGATGATGATGGTGGTGATGGTAGTGTTTATGGTGCTTATGATGATGATGATGAGTGGGGTCCTCCCCCCTCCCCTTGGACAGTGATATTCATCTCCAGACACCAGAGCGATGCGCTCATTTAACCCTCACCACGCACACAGCAAACAAAGACAAAGATGCCCCGTATAGGGTCAACAGACTGTCAGGGCAAGTGCTGCTATTAGCGAGCAGCACCTATGAAGTCCAACACGATACACGACACTGTGGCGCGGCTGTCACCACTCCCGGCCGCCTTTGTCTCCCCCAGTCGTGATACACCGCGCCAGGCATTCATCATTTGAGGCTGAATCGACATAGGAGAGCCACACAACCGGTTCCAATAATCGTCACTGATTGTTGGCCGTGAGCGCGAATCGAATTGGGTTCGCTGAGGGTTCATCGCGCAGTGCGCTAACCACTGCTCCCACCGCTCCACATAGTATAGACAAATCCTCCGGATAGCTTTAACTGAATTTTTGGGCAAGTGCTGTTAGCGAGCAGCGCCTATGAGGGCCGGCACGGCACACGAGGGGGTGGGTGGCCAGCACCACGCCCGACCGCCTTTGTTTCCCCATTGGCGATGCTTTACACACCGCACCAGGTACTAATTTGAGGCTGAGTCGACCTAGGAGTGACCCAGGATCGGTTCAGATCATTATCGGCACTGGCATTGACCGTGAGCGGATGAGGATACGCGCATATACAGAATACACGTGCAGTACACACTCACAACAGTACACAATCACAACAATACACACAACAGTACACAATCACAACAGCACACACTCACAACAGTACACACTCACAGCAGTACACACTCACAGCAGTACACACTCACAGCAGTACACAATCACAACAATACACACAACAGTACACACTCACAACAGTACACAATCACAACAGTACACAATCACAAGAGTACACAATCACAACAGCACACACTCACAGCAGTACACACAACAGTACACACTCACAACAGTACACACTCACAACAGTACACACGACTGTTTGAGCCCAACGGTCCCTTGGGTCTTACCTAGGTCGACTCAGCCTAAAATCAGTACCCGTTTTCGGTGGCAAATATAAACACTGGAGAGACAAAGGTGGCCGGGCATGGTGCTTGCCACACCAACAACGCCCCGTCGTGCCGTCGTTATTAGCTTCATACGTGGTGCTCGCTAACAGCACTTGCCCCAATATCCTGACGAGGCTATGCGGGTGGTCTTTGTCAGTGGGGTGTCTGTGGGCGATCTCTGCGTCTGCGAAGGCAATAGAGTCGGGGAGGTGGGGGCAGGTCTTTGTCTGTGTGTGTGTCTGTGTGTGTGTGTCTTTGTCTGTGTGTGTGTCTGTGTGTGTGTCTTTGTCTGTGTGTGTCTGTGTGTGTCTGTGTGTGTGTCTGTGTGTCTTTGTCTGTGTGTGTGTCTGTGTGTGTGTGTCTTTGTCTGTGTGTGTGTCTGTGTGTCTGTGTGTGTGTCTGTGTGTCTTTGTCTGTGTGTGTGTGTGTCTGTGTGTCTGTGTGTGTGTCTGTGTGTGTGTCTCTACACCTCGTCACGCTGTCACAGTGCGCAGTCTCGGAATGACGGGCGCAGCAGCAGCAGCAGACTCCACTAATTAGACAATGGGGGGGAGGGGGAAACCCCCCCCCCCACTTCCGTATCCACTCCCCTCTCTCTCCCCAACCCCCTCCCCTCTCCCTTCTTGCCCCTCCCCTCTAACCCCCTCCCAGCCCCTCCCCTCCACCCCACCCAGCTCCCCCTCTCCCCCCAACCCCTCCCCTCCCCCAACCCCTCCCCTCTCCCTCACCCAGCCCCTCCCCTCTCTCCCCACGACCCATTCCCCTCTTCCCTTCTCCCCCGATGCCACGACCCCCCTCCCCCAACACATCCCCCCTCCCCCAACACATCCCCCCTCCCCCAACACATCCCCACTCTCCCCCCAGCCCCTCCCCCCTCCCCCAACACATCCCCCCTCCTCCAACACATCCCCCCTCCCCCAACACATCCCCCCTCTCCCCCCAGCCCCTCCCCCCTCCCCCAACACATCCCCCCTCCACCGCAGCCCCTCCCCTCTCCCCCGGCCCCTCCCCCCTCGCTCGTCCTCTGACGCGAGACGAAGCTGAATGAGATGGCGAGCGGGTGGTGGTGGTGGTGAGGCGGGGAGACTGCGCTAGGCGGAGCGAGGTGGTGAGGAGGAGGGCTTGGTGAGGAGGGGAGAGTGTAAGGAGGGTGCCGTGAGTGAGGTGAGGAGAGAGGTGAATGAGGTGAGCGAGGTGAGGGAGAGTGAGGTGAGCATGGTGAGCGAGGTGACAGCGAGGTGAGTGTTGCTGAATGAGCGTGGTGAGGGAGAGTGGGGTGTGTGTGGTGAGGTGTGTGTGGTGAGGTGTGTGTGGTGAGGTGTGTGTGGTGAGGTGACAGTGGTTAGGTGAGTGAGGGTACGCTCGCTATATTAACGTCAACCGTGCCGTATCGTGCTGCAGTTTACCAGGCACGACATTAACGTCAATTATAACGCGAACACGGATCATTATCGCGGGGCTGAAGGACGGTGAGGATGGTGAGGATGGTGAGTAGGCGGGAGGGTGTGTTGCTGTCAACATCGCGCCCTCCTCGCTCCACCCTCTGCGTGGTGAGGCGAGGGAGGAGGAGGAGGGAGAGGAGGCGGCGTGATGATGATAAGGAGGGAGGGAGGGAAACACGAGGAGGATGAGAGATAAAGAGGTGGGAGGTGAAGGAGGGAGCTCTGAGGGTGATGAGGAGACACGAAGAGGTGGAATGAGGAAGCATGAGGAGGAGGAAGAGGAGGAGGTGTAGGGGGAGGAAAGAGGTGATGGCGAACGCTCCCACCACCTCGCATCGATTCAATCCGAGACGGTAAAATAAATAAATAACGCGGCGGTGGAAAAAAAAGTCTGCGCGGAGCTCGAAGGGAGGGGCGGGGGAGGAGAGGGGGAGGGGCGGGGGGGTACCCGGCTCCCAGACGACCGCAACCCGGGCACGAACCCATGCCCTCGAGTTTCCGTGTACCAATGTCTCCCTTGCCAGACCTCCCGTCTCTTCCTGTCCCCATGTCTCTCTCTCCCCGTGTCTCTCTCTCCCCGTGTCTCTCTCTCCCCGTGTCTCTCTGTCCCCGTGTCTCTCTCTCCCCGTGTCTCTCTCTCCCCGTGTCTCTCTCTCCCTGTGTCTCTCTCTCCCCGTGTCTCTCTCTCCCCGTGTCTCTCTCTCCCCGTGTCTCTCTCTCCCCGTGTCTCTCTGTCTCCGTGTCGCTCTGTCTCTGTTTCTGTCCCCGTGTCTCTATCTCCCCGTGTCTCTCTCCCCGTGTCTCTCTCGGTCCGAGACAAAGATGCATGGTGTGGACAAAGAGACGTGGGGACAGAGAGACACGAAGACAGAGAGACACCGAGACTCTCGGTGTCTCTCTGTCCCCGTGTCCCGATGTGCCGACGTCTCTCTTCCCTTGCCCCCCCCCCCTCCGAGTTATTTATTTATTTGTTGCTGGGATGGGAGATGGGGGGAGGGGGAGTCGCCCTCTCAAGGTCCCACGGCCGCGAGTCGTGGAGACGTTGGGGGTTGTTTTTTTATGCTGAGCAGACCTTGAGGAGGGCCGCGTGCCAACCTCCCTCTCCATTTCGCTCGTATCGACGTGCACGAGCGCAGATTCGTCCTGCCCTCTAACCAGCCCCTCCCCCGTCTCCCCCCGCCCCCCCCCCTGCCCCCCCCTGCCCCCCCCCCCTGCCCCCACTAAGGGTGTGAGTCATTGGGAAGGAAGCGTCTCGGCGTGAGAAGACATCACACCCTCAGCAACAACAACATCAACAACAACATCACAACAACACATCAACAACATCAACATTCATCATCGGCAGCGTCATCATCACTGTCAGCAAGCAGGATATATTAGCAGTCGCAACTGAATCATAAGCATCAAGAATCACGAGATTTAGTCAGAGCGTAGAATACGCAGCGGCATCGTCAACATCATCATCCGCAGCAGCAGCCAGTGGCAATCTTAGCAGCATAATCAACATCATCATAATCAGCAGGCCGCCATGGGCAAGCAGAACAGCAAGCTGGCGCCCGAGGTGCTGGAGGATCTGACGAAGAGCACCGAGTTCAACGAGCACGAGCTGAAGCAGTGGTACAAGGGCTTCCTCAAGGACTGTCCCAGCGGGCGCCTCAACCTCGACGAGTTCCAGCAGCTCTACGTGAAGGTAACGATGATGACAACGGTGGCGGTGACGATGACGGTGGTGGTGATGACGTGACGATGATGACGGTGGTGGCGATGATAGTGGTGATGGTGATGATGATGACGATGGTGGCGATGATGACGGTGATGATGATGATGACGCTGGTGGTGATGATAACGGTGGTGATGATGATGATGAGAGTGGTGATGATGATGACGACGGTGGTGATGATGATGACGGTGGTGATGATGATGACGGTGGTGATGATGATGGTGATGATGATGATGACGACGATGATGACGATTATGATGACAGTGGTGGTGATGGTGGTGATGATGATGATGACAGTGGTGATGATGATGACGGTGGTGGTGATGATGATGACGGTGGTGATGATGATGGTGGTGATGATGACGATTATGATGACGGTGGTGATGATGGTGATGATGGTGATGATGATGATGGTGGTGATGATAATGACGATGGTGATGATGACGGTGGTGATGATGATGGTGATGATGATGACGATGATGATGATGGTGATGATGACGGTGGTGGTGATGATGACAGTGGTGATGATGATAACGATGGTGGTGATGATGATGGCGATAATGATGACTGTGATGGTTGGTGGTGACGACGATGATTCATTCATTTGTTGTCCTTCCCCCGCACCTCCCGATTATCGAGGTTGGCTAGAGGTACGGTGCGAAAGAAGTTGAGCATACATCTGCACATTCCTAACCGCATAGTCGGCTAAGGACCCTTCCGCCAAACGAGTGACCTTTTGCCTTGAGCTCAGTTATACCTCGATATGCGAATAAATTGTATTCTCATTGTATAGAGTTCAGTAGGTCGACGAATAGAAAAAGAACGTATTCATGGCGTGCATTTATTTATTATTTTACTTTATTTTTCATCTTTGTGTGTAAAATAATGGATGAACAATTTTCGTCTCTCTCCAAAGTTGGTTGTACCGAAACGTCGTGTATCGAATATCCGCATATCGAGGCATTCCTCTGCCACTATTGCACACCTATCAACCCCGTGCCTATCTCATTACAGACCCATTCACGCCTTACTGGTCACTGTTCATCCTACAAAGTCCCATCATAAGGGAGAAACACAAAAAATAGACAAAACACTTAGGCTTTCGCGACCAATATTATCCATAGTAAAGGTTTATGGGTTGGATCGCATACGCATAAATGTGTCGTAACCCTCCACCACCCGACACAGCCAGCAAGGTGTGTCACGTGAACAAAATGCGCCATTCTGACATTAGGCTGCACGTGCACGGTTCATCTCCGAGTCTTGATCACAATCCTTATTTAGACTGGAGGAATCCGATGAGCCATGAAGCTCTTTCTTTCACAGGCGTCAGCATTTCCATCTTGACAGTGTCCAGCGAGCCTTACCTGGTGAACTAAAAAATAGTTTAAATATCAAACCGAAGAGTACTCAGCGGCGCTCTCGCTCTACTTTGTGGTTAGTTGGACGTTAAAGACGCCGTGACGTCGTTGCGTGTGCCGGGCTCACGGTCAAACAGTCGAGAGAGAAGAGAAGTCCCCGACTCTACAAGTGACTCGATTGGGATGGCACGCTGCTGCGGCGGTTAGCGCACTGCGCTACAAACCCCGGCGAGCCGAGTTCGATTCCTGCACACGGCCGCCAACGGCGGTGAGGATTATCTGAACTGGTCCTGGCGCCCCCGACTCGGCCTCAAATGAGTAGCTGGTGCGGCGTGTAAACATCGCCACTGGGGAGACAAAGGCGGTCGGGCGTGGTGCTGGCCACTCCCTCGTGCGCCGTGCCGGATACTTACTCACAGCTAGGCCTCGGCAAGGTAAAAGTTAAAATGTAAAAACAACGAGCCTGCCTTTACCTTACCTTTTATCTTACCACGATACAATCACTCTACTCTACCTTTTACCCTTTAGCAGGTAAGGTAAAAGGTAGAAAGCAATGAGCCTACCTTTACCCTACCTTGTACCCTTACACCATACAAATTACCCGATTACAGGGTAATTACTGGGGTACTACTACACATGCAAAAGGTTTATAACGGTACATGCTGGGTAGAGCGCTTTATTCATATAGAATACTCTCGATGACTCCAATTTGACACGCTTTCTTTGAACTCACTCTGTTGTTGTCGTTGTTGTATCCTCAAATCTTGTAACTCAATTTTAACCCACTTCCCAATGTGGTATCGACTGCAAACTTGGTATACTTGTGTCATACTGATGACAACACTATATTCTATCATAAATATATATTTATTTTATTAAACATTCTTTTTTATATGTTATGTTTCTGCTTGGGTCTAATTATCCACCACGCCTTACATTATGGCAAGCTTCGGGGCCATTCCTGGAGTCATGGAGTTCTGCCATTACTAGTACATTTAATAAAAGCGTGTTTAAAAAAAAGTTTCTGTAAATGTTACTTATTAAAAGGAGGCCACGGATTGCGCCACGGAGCTTCTAGCGGTAACCAAGGCACCGTATTTACCGGGTAATACTTGGCGCTACCTTTACCCTACCGGGTAATTCTTTCGAGCTACCTTGACCCTGTACCCTTTACCCTTACCCCTTGGCATGTCGACACCTTTACCCTTCTTTACCTTGACCCTGTTACCCGGTAAAAAGGGTAAATTACCTTGCCTTGCCGAGGCCTACTCACAGCACTTGCCCCAACAGTCTGTTGACAGGAAGCTATACAGAGGAGAGCCTACGTGTTAAACTATACAGGGGATCTTTGTTTAACTTTAGAACTCGGAGGAAATCCTTGAAGAACAAGGAGAGAAGACAGATCCCCCGTATAGCCTGAACGGACTGTTGGGGCAAGTGCGGTTAGCGAGCACCTATCAAGGCCGGCACGGCACACGAGGGGCCGCCTTTGTCTCCCTAGTGGCGATGTTTACACACCGCACCAGGTACTCATTTGAGGCTGAGTGTAGCTGTTGGCGTGCTAACGGCTCCACTACGACTCACCCACACACAAATCCGATCACTAAACCACCCAACACACTGCAGGCCACAGCAACACACTCACCCAGCCAGTGACGCTACAATCGCTACAACTACCATGGTGACTGTTCCCGTGAACTTCCATCATTGATTCCTCCACCCACGTTGAGAACTCAGGTCACACTAACACAAAGATCCCCCGTATAGCCTTCATAGGTTTTGTTTTTGGGCCAAGTGCTGCTAGCGAGCAGCACTTGGCCCCTACAATCTGTTAAGGCTATACGGGGGATCTTTGTGCCCGTGTGTGCGTCGGTGCGGAGCGGTGGCGCAGCGGTTAGCATGCCGCGCTACGAACCTCCGGCCACCCGAATTCACGGCGACCGACAGCAGTGACGAGAATCTGAACCTATCCTGGGCTTCCCCTAGGTCGACTCGGCCTCAAACGAATCGGCGATGGGCGGTGTGTAAAACGGCAGCACTGGGGATAAGGCGGCGGCGGTCCTGCCGTCCACCCCCCCCCCCCCCTCGTGCGCCACACCAGCCTTCGTAGGCGCTGCTACTCACGATCACGCTATTTTATTTTACTATTTTATTTTACTATTTTATTTTTTACCAGGTAAGGGCCACTGAGCTACGTAGCTCTTTTTCAGAAGCGACCTGGCAACAAACGACAGCTCAACGAAGTGGCTCGTCACGTGGACATTCGTAGCAGCCAAAGACTCTGGACGCGTGGAGATGTTGATGAGAAATGTGGAGGGAAAAACCGGAGGACCCGGAGAAAAATCCACGCGACCACGGGGAGAGAGAGAGAGATGGAAACTCCAAATATACAGCAGCAGGCGTCGGGGTCGGGATTGAATCCACGACCTCCTGCATACCATGCGAGGTAGTTAACATCTTCTAGCCACCGTGATGATGGTGATGATGAGAGAGAGAGACGCAGACACCAAATATACAGCAGGCGTCGGGATCGAATCCACGACTTGCTGCATACCAGGCGAGGTAGTTAACATCTCCTCGCCACGGTGGCGCCCCCAAACAGTCTTTGCGCCAAACAGTCTGCTGAGGCTATACGGGGTTTGTGTGTGGGGATCTTTGTCTCACAGTTCTTCCCGTACGGAGACGCGTCCAAGTTCGCCCAGCACGCGTTCCGCACCTTCGACAAGAACGGCGACGGCACCATCGACTTCCGGGAGTTCATCTGCGCCCTGAGCGTCACCTCGCGCGGAAACTTCGAGCAGAAGCTCAACTGGGCCTTCGAGATGTACGACCTGGACGGCGACGGCTACATCTCTCGCCGCGAGATGCTGGAGATCATCGAGGTGAGGGGAGGGGGGACGCAGTGGGGTGGGGGCGGAGCAGACGCGTTTCGACCACCGCGCTCGCTCTCTGTCTCTCTCTCTCTCTGTCTCACTTTGTCTCTCTCTCTGTCTCACTTTGTCTCTCTCTCTGTCTCACTTTGTCTCTCTCTCTCTCTCTGTCTCTCTCTGTCTCTCTTTCTGTCTCTGTCTCACTGTCTCTTTTATCTGTCTCTGTGTGTGTCTCTGTATCACTCTCTCTGTCTCACTCTCTCTCTGTCTCACGCACTATCTGTCTGTCTCACTCACTCTCTGTCTCTATTACTGTCTCTCTCCGTCTCACTCTCTCTGTCTCTGTGGGTGGGTGTGTTGTTGTTACGACCTGCAGTGTGGTGACTGAACACACCATCGTCCGTGTCATTCCTCAGCGATTGTGAGCGATGCCATTCGCGCGTGCGACAACGACACTGCTGTACACAAACATCAACAGCCGCCATTCGCCACTAAGTGACGGTGACGTCACCACGGCACCTGTGCCAGGCCAGGTGCACGTTGAGGCTACCACGTGAAGTGCCGAAGGCTCGCTGGCAGGTCTCGGGACGGATCCAGTTGCCAAGGGGTGGCTGACTGAGATGACTGGTAGATGCACCAGCTGTATTCCCTACTGTGCCTACTTGCTGCATTTTAGCCGCCCGGTGCTCCAGTCACATGTTGTGAGCGTCGCTCCTCTGCCCTCCGTTGTTGCTGGAGGGCGACTGCCTCCAACTGCCCAGTCGCAGCAGCAGCAGTGTCTTTCACGAGCCTCCTCCATAGAGGCCGATCATGACACCGCTGGTACCGGTCGTCGGCAAGTCCACTCAGCTCCACATCCAGGCGAACACTGCTATACAAAGACAAAGATCCCCCCGTATAGCCTTAACAGACTGTAGGGGCAAGTGCTGTTAGCGAGCACCTATGAAGGCTGGAACGACACACGAGAAGGTGGGTGGCTAACACCACGCCCGGCCGCCTTTGTCTCCCCAGTGGCAAATATTTTTACGCACCGCACTGCACCAGCTACTCATTTGAGGCTGAGTGGACTTAGGGGAGGCCCAGCACCGGTGCAGATAATCGTCACTGGTGTTGGCCGTGAGCGGGAATCGGACTCGGGTCATCAGGTTCGTCGTACAGCGTAGCGCTCACCGCTACACCAACCCCCCCCCCCCCCTACGCACAGTAAACGTGTCGGCTTGAACCAGGTCACGCTTAAAAACCAGGACTCTCAAGAATCTTGAATTCTCACCCTGCTTACACAAACCACAAAGTAGGGCTTGCAAACTTAACCCCCCCCATCCGCCACCCCCCTCCCAGGCCATCTACAAGATGGTGGGCACGGTGATCATGATGAAGATGAACGAGGATGGCCTCACCCCCGAGCAGCGCGTCGATGCCATCTTCAGCAAGATGGATAAGAACAACGACGACCTCATCTCGCTCGCCGAGTTCACTGAGGCGGCCAAGAGCGACCCCTCCATCGTGCTGCTGCTGCAGTGCGACGTGCAGAAGTAGGCGGCGGTAGCGGCGGCGGTGGCGGCGGCGGCGGTGGCGGCGGTGGCGGCGGCGGTGGTGAAGGTGGTGGCGGCGGTGGTGGCGGCGGTGGTGGCCTGCCGAGATGCCGCCGTCGAACGCAAGCGATGCACGCGGCGGCCCTGCCACGGCGTCGAGTGCACGCGCGCGTTCACGCACATGCCTGTGTGAGTGTGTGTGTGCAGACACGTGTGTGTGCAGGCACGTGTGTGTACAGGCACGTGTGTGTACACGCGCGTGCACGCCGCGGCCCTGCCACGGCACTGAGCGCACGCGTGCGTACGCTCGCGTGCATGCACGTGCGTGCGTGTAACCTGTACATGCGTACACATGTGTAGTGTGTCTGTATGTATGTTGAATTTCTTTCGAACCGTACGTAGCCAACCGTGCTCATCGGAGGTGCGTGTGTACACGTGTACAGTGTACCTGTACACGTGTACAGTGTACCTGTACACGTGTACAGTGTACCTCTCTATAGTGTACCTGTAGATGTGTGTAAACCTGTGTAGTGTACCCCTGTGCACATGTGTACACTTGTACACTGCACACGTTTACACCTATGTAGTGTAGGGGTACACACGCGTGTACATCTGTGTAATGGAGCTGTACACGTGTGTATACCTGGACCTGTGTACCTGTGCATGTTTACACCTGCGTACCTGTACACGTGTATATCTGTGTAGTGTACCTGTATGCCTGTACACCTGTGCGCCCATACACGTGTACACCTGTGTGCTTGTACACGTGTACACCTGTGCGCCCATACACGTGTACACCTGTGTGCTTGTACACGTGTACACCTGTGCGCCCATACACGTGTACACCTGTGTGCTTGTACACGTGTACACCTGTGTGTCCATACACGTGTACACCTGTGTGCGTGTACACCCACCTGTACGCGCATGATTCCCCGTCCCCTTTTGCCCAATTCCAACCTCCCCCTCCCTCCCTCCCACCCCTCCAAAATGCGCACCTGCCACTGCACGCATTCCTCACCAGGTGAGCTTGCCCTCACCAGGTGAGACGAGGGTGATGGCCCGTTTACACTTAAAAAGCAACTCCTTTAGAGTCGCATTTTGCACAAAAGGTTAAACTTCTATGTATGTATATACAGAGACAAAAACAGCCGCACACAAAGACACCCTCTCGTACAGCCTTCAACACACTGTTGGGGTGGGTGGCCAGCACCACGCCGGGCCGCCTTTGTCTCCCCCAGTGGCGATGTTTTACACCCCGCACCAGGTACTCATATAAGGGTTGACCCTGGATAGTGCCCAGGTCCGGTTCAGATTTTCGTCACCGGTGTTGGCCGTGAGCGAGAAGTGAACTCTGGTCGCACACATACACACACGCACTAACACATACACACACACACGTACACACACACACGAACACACACACGAACACACACACGCACGTACACACACACGTACACACACACACGTACACATACACACACAAACACGTACGCACACACGCACGCACGCACGTACACACACACACGCACTAACACACACACGCACTAACACACACACGTACACACACGCACTAACAAACACACGCACGAACACACACACACGCACGTACACACACACGCACTAACACATACACGCACACACACTAACACACGCACTAACACATACACGCACTAACACATACACGCACTAACACACGCACTAACAGATACACACGCACTAACACACACACGCACTAACACACGCACTAACACATACACGCACTAACACATACACACGCACGTACACACAGCGACAAGGAACCTTGGTAGAAGCCCCACCTCCCCGGTCTACCCCTGCCCTGCCCCTGCCCCTACCCCTACCCTGCCCCTACCCTGCCCTGCCCCTACCCCTATGGTTGGCCCCCGTGTTCCCACTGCTCCCCTTTCATCCCCGTGACCCCCTCGCCTCCCCCCCAAGAGCCCCCTACCGCGTTGAACCCACCTGCCCCCGCCCCGTAAACCCCCCCACCCGCCCCGTGCCCCCCCCACCCGCCCCGTGCCCCCCCCCACCTGCCCCGTGCCCCCCACTCGCCTCGTGCCCCCCACCCGCCCCGTGCCCCCACCTGCCCCGTGCCCCCCAGAAGCGTTGCCACGTGTTGTGCATGCGTGCCACGCGCACACTGTTTGTGTAACTGCCAAGTGATCGACTAATTTCTTTATGTCCCATATCTCGACGTAATGATTACGATTATTATTATGATTACTTTTTGAGTCGTGTTTTCTATCGTGGCGATATCGTAGCGCTGTACAAAACGTACGAAGAAGGCGTTTGGTGGTGGTGACGGTGACGGTGGCTGCGTCGTGCTACTGATCGTTCTCCTCGGAGTGGCCCCTCTCTCTCTCTTCCTCTAGCAGGCGGACAATGTCCGTCTCTCCCCGGCTCTCTCCCCGACTCCCCGACTCTCAGAGTCTCCCTGGCTCTCGCTTCTCTGGATCTCTTCCTGGCTCTCAAATCTGTGTGACGCTCTCCCTCCAACTCCATTGGCTCTCTCCACACTCTCAAGAATTGTCCGGGACTCCTTGTCCTGGCTTTCCAACTCTCTAAGTAATTCCTGCCTCTTGGACTCCACAATTCTCACGACTCTCTCATCTCGCAGTCTCTGTGCTCCGTCTCTCTGCGTGGCTCTCTTCTCTCCGTCCCCTGACAACGAATTTGTCTCTTCCCCTCTGCGACCGCTTCCCCTTTCGTCTCTCCTCGCCTCTCCGCTCCACCACCTCCCTCCCTCTCTGCCCTCTGTCGCGAACACGTTCAGCGCAACGCAAGCGTCTCCAGCAACGCTTACGAAGCAGGAGATTTGTGTGGGCGGAGGGAGGAAAGGAGGTTCCTGGCCCGCTGGGGCAACTTACGAGCAACTTTTGCCGGCAACTTTCACCGCCGGCAGCTGGCACTGGCAATGCTTTTATTGCCGCAGCATTTCAACCGTTGCAAACAAAATATGCCGTTGCCCAAAATGGGTACAAATCCAAATCACAGCGGCCCTGAGTGGGATACGTGGGGCGGCAGCGAGAGAGAGAGAGAAGAGAGGGGAGCAGAGACTCCGGCCTGGGCTCGAGGTGACAGCTTCAGGTGTGGATGTGATGGCGTGGTGCTTGGTGTGTGGAGGTGTGACGGCATGCTGCGATTGTGTGATGGTGTGATGGCGTGATGTGACGCTATGGTATAACGTGATGGCGCGGTGCAATGGTGTGATGGGCCGTCACATGATGGGCATCTTGAGCCAGTCTCTAAGCCCAACATTTGCTGGGATGACCACAAACACACACTGACACATACACTGACACACACACACTGATACAGACACTGAGACTGACACACACTGACACACACTGACACACACTGACACACACACAGACACACACACACACTGACACACACACTGACACTGACACACACACTGACACACACGCTGAGACACACACACGCTGACACTGACACACACGCTGACGCACACACTGACCGCTGTGAATGGCCGGAGCAGGAGCATTGAGTCTCAGACTCAATTGATTTGCCAGCCACCTTCAGTTGCCATTCGCTCTCAGTGAAAAGGCGTTGCCGCCATGGGGTGACAGGTGCCGCCATAGGGTGACAGATGCCGCCATGGGTTGCCATAACATTTCCCGAAGCCAGGAGGAGAGGAGAGACAGGAAGCAGAGTGGAGAGGATTGACTTTGTATTCTGTCCAATTCCAGTTCTGAAGAATATCAGAATCAGAATATGTATTGACACTGGAGGAATCCGATCAGCTTTCAAGATGTTCCCACAGATGTCCAGTCGGGGCACGGGGTACGGACGTTGCAACAAAATGCGTTGATGCGCTAGTCCCAAAAGCAGCTGGTACAGGATCCAAAATTACGTGAGAGGCAGAGAGAGAGAGAGCGGAGGGGATGGAGGAGGGTGGAGAGAGAGCGACGAGGTGAGCGAGTGAGAAGTTGAGATGCAAGGCAGAGGAGATCGTAGGTGGGAGGGAGAGAGGACAGAGATGGGGGGGGGGCAGATGATGGGGAGCGAAATGGAGAGAAGGCAGAAGTTGGTGAGGGTGAGAGGGGAGGGTGAGAGGGGAGGTGAGAGGGGAGGAAGAGAGGGATGAGTGATGAACAGGGTGGGGAGAGAGAGACAGCGAAGAGAGAGTGAAGAGAGGGAGAGCAAGGAGAGAGCCGAGAGATGGGTGGAGACGCCGGGATGAGAGAGGAGGAGGAGCTCGGGAGGGAGTCGCGATTTTTGCGTCGTGATGAGGCTCCACCACCAGCAGCACCACCACGACCACCACCACCACCACGACCACCACCACCACCACCACCACGCCAGCTTCACCGTCGCTGTCGCCTCCGTTGCCGCTCTTGATGGATCTGGTCTCTTGGAGCAACACGCGCGCGGAGAGATCAGCTTGGCGCTTGTGGTGACGGAGGTGATGGTGGTGGTGGTGATGATGGTGATGATGATGGTGATGATGGTGATGATGGTGATGATGATGGTGATAATGGTGATGATGATGGGTCGCGCCCGTTTGCATGAACGCGCGACGGGAAAAAAAAAACTGTTCCGTGCTCGTGTCACGTGTGAGTGGCATGCTCGTGATAAATAACCTCGTGTGACCTGACCTTGACCCCGCTGGACCTGACCCCCCGGGAAAACCGTTCACCCCCTCCCCCCGGGTCTTACCTGATGGGGACCCGACCTGACGTGACCCTGACCCTGGGCAGAGTTGATAACTGACCTGAATTGACCTGACCCTGACCTCGAGTTGACCTGACCCTGACCCCCCCGCCCCCTCCCCACGCGCGAACTTTCCGCTCGGCGACTGTTGGCGCGTACGGCTCCCGCGGGTCGCGCTGTTGTGTCTGAATAAAATAACACCCAGATGGCAGCCAGGGTGAGCCTCCGTGCTTGCGTCTCTGTGTCTGTGTGGGGAGGTGTGGTGTGGGCGCCACGGTGGCTAGGAGGTGTTAACTACCTCGCCTGGTGTACAGGAGGTCGTGGGTTCCAGCCCGACCCTGACGCCTGCTGCTGCTGCTGTATATTTGGAGTTTGGGTGCCTCTGCCCGTGGTCGCGTGGATTTTTCTCCGGGTCCTCCGGGTTTTCCCTCCACATTGAGACTCAACATCACGCGTTTACAGTATTTGGCTGCAATAATTGTCCACGTGAGCTATCATTTGGGGCCAGGTCGCTTCTGAAAAAGAGCTGCATAGCTCAGTGGGCCTTACCTGGTAAATATCGACACGGGGAAGACAAAGGCGGCCGGGCGTGGTGCTGGCCACCCACTCCCTCGTGTGCCGTGCCGGCCTTCATAGGTGCTGCTCGCTACTCACAGCTCTTGCCCCAACAGTCGTGTGAAGGATGCATGTGCGAGTGGGTGAGTGGCTGGTGGATGTTGCCATGTGGCGAGGGGGGCGAAGGGCGACTCAGAGCTTGGGTCCAGGTGAAGGCTGGGCACGGATGAACCCCCCCCACCACCCCCGCCATTGGCACCGTGGGAATTTTTTATGGTGTTTTAAAAACTTTACAATTATAAGCTCGACGTATGCGCGACTTTTTAAAAGATTAAAAAAATACTTTCATTTGAATAATTGTAAATGAGTTCACAAATATTTACGTAAGTTGAAAACAAGACTTCATGTACACGCTTAACATGTGTTAATTAATAACTTTAAACTATATAGTAATTGCCTTGAGAACAGAGGCGTTGGATCTGGCCGCACGTGACCTTTGACATCACATTTGGGGCAGGGCAGCCAATCCAAGTGGGCATGCGTCACGTGGCCGGAGGGTGTGTCGAGTCACGTGACACAGGACAATAAAATGAGCAAACAATAGTTCATCCTCACGGTGGCGCTCTCCCTCCATTGTTTTACCCCTCCCAGCAGCCGCACGGGCCCCTCCCCTTCTGCCTCCCTCTCATCTCATTTCAGCAGCGAGGCATCATCGTTTGCGCCCTCAGTGTCGTCGTCCTTCCCACCGCACCTCTCGATCCGCACGGTTGGCTCCGCAAGGAGTTCGACGGACGCACACGGAACGAGGCGGACGCTTTCTCGCCTCTGGGCCGGATTTTCGACCCACGGTGGAGTGAGATCTCGCCAGCAAGCGGCGAAGTTGAAGTTTGTGTCCCAACCGGTGATGGTGAACTGCCGGGTCCTACAGGCAGGTGACCTAGTATCGTAATCCAGAACCTCAAAATAAATGATGATCTTAATGCAAAATCATACGGGTATTTTTTGTTGTTGTGATATAAGAAAAAGATGTTCTGGCTGGTGGTGGGACAGACGGATGGTCACGTCCGCTCGTGTAATTGCGTCATGGATTTAGATAATAATTCTGCTGCTGGAAATGTCCACGCGATAAGCCGCTTTGTTGAGCTGTCATTTGTGGCCAGCTCTCTCCTCGGAAAAGTGAGTGACCACCTCGGTGGGATTTCCACATCTCGCACCCACTCCACACTGCTTCACCACGGCCACCGCCACTACCATCAACCACCACGACGCGAGGCTTGCCGAGTCTCGGCTGTTGTCGCCGGGTTTGCGTCTACGACGGGTCGGCAAACCAACAACAACAACAACACGAAGAGCCATTTTTTTGTTTTCGAATTCGGGTGAAAAAAAACCTCCCAACATTTCAAGAGCCGCAATGCACTCTGTGTGTGTGGTGAACACGAGACGGCGGGGGCCTTAAATAAAGAATGAATGAGGTCACGAAGCTTACAGAGCCACCGCATGAGGCTTCGGAGCCGCAGGTTGCCGACTGCTTCCATGGTGAACTGGACTTCCATGGTGAATTGGACTTCCATGGCCCATGGTGAACAGAACTTCCATGGTGAACTGGACTTCCATGGTGAACTGGACTTCCATGGTGAACTGGACTTCCATGGTCAGGGGTCAGCAACCAACATTTTTTTTTATCGAATCCGGTAAGAAAAAAAAACCCTCAATATTTCCAGAGCCGCAACGCAGTCCTTAAAAAGCCGTATGTATCACCTTCACGTGCAAATGTATAGCAGAAGCCAAATACTGCAAATGTGTAGATGTTGATTTCTGAATGTGGAGGGAAAATCCGGAGCACCCGGAGAGAAAAATCCACGTGACCACGGGGAGAGAGAGAGACACGCAAATTCCAACTATACAGCAGGCGTCAGGGTCGGGATCCAACCCAGGACCTCCTGCATACCAGGCGAGGTGGTTAACATCTCCGAGCCACCGTGGTGTGATGAGTAACGATGGTGCGATCGTGCGCGATGGACGAACCCGCCACTCGCGGTGTCACCAACGTCGCGTCAACCAAACCGAGCGGCTCGCAACGCCCCCCCCGGCTGGGGAAAACGTCCCGCGGAACGAGACACCGCGGAACCGCTTCTGAGATCGTTTTGAAAGTGACCTCTTCGTTTTAAGTGCTTATGAAAAAAGGGGTCATCGCCCGAAACGTCGCCGCCTACATATTTATTTCCTTTTTAAGGCCACGCACGGTGTGTGTTGTTGCCGAAGGTGCTGAGGCTGTTGTACAGTGCAATTCTCATCGCGTCAGTCCAATGTATTATATATTCTAGAATCCAATGTATTAGTTTAATTCCTCGGCGCTGAAGTTTAGTCAAATAATGTACAGCAGTTTTACAAACGATCCTCATCACTGCCATCACCATCATCACCACCACCTTTATCATCACCACCACCACGACCACACTCATCATCACCATCATCACCACCGTCATCATCATCACCACCGTCATCATCATCACCACTGTCATCATCATTATCACCACCACCATTATCACTACCACACTCATCATCACCATCATCATCCCCACCATCATCATCCCCACCATCATCATCACCACCACCATTATCACTACCACACTCATCATCACCATAATCATCCCAACCACCACCATCATCATCACCATCATCATTGATTCCCCACCACCAACATCTGCCATGCGGCCGCTCTGCGAGGTGGGGTGATGCGGCCGGTCGTTGTTGCGTACGCACTGTGCTGTGGCCGGAAACCAATGCGGCAGGGTGATCTACCCGTTCCGCGGTGTGTCAGGGTCCACGCCGCAGCGTGTTGTGGCGTTGTTTGGTAGCACGGTGTGACATTACCCACGTCGCAGTGCGGTGTTGCCGACCTACGATGTGGCATCAGCCACGCGGCAGAGTGGTGTGGTCTACCCGAGACGCGATGTGACGGGGCCCAACACCGTAGGGTGTTGCGGTGTGGCAGGGGTACGGTGTGGCAGGGGTAACGCCGCAGGGTGGTGTGGTATGGCAGGGGTACGGTGTGGCAGGGGTAACGTTGCAGGGTGGTGTGGTATGGCAGGGGTACGGTGTGGCAGGGGTACGGTGTGGCAGGGTTAACGCCGCAGGGTGGTGCGTCGTGCCCTCCCTGCGCCGTCACTCGACCCGCCAGATGGCGACCTGCCCGTCGTTGTGGCCGGCGCCGCTCAGCACGTAGCGCCGCTCGGCCGAGCACATGGCGCGCACGGCGCCCGCGTGCGCCTCCAGCTGCTGGCGCGTGCGCAGGGAGCGCGCGTCCAGCACGAAGAGGCAGGCGCGGGCTCCCGGCCGCATCGCGCAGCGCGCCCCGACCCACACCTGCGCACCACACCGCGCCAGCGCCAGCGTTAGCATCGGCGCCGGCGTTCTCGTCCACGACGCATTTCGCTCTTCAAAGGGGCTCGATCGATGCGGAGCGTCTCGGGGCACTTTGCGATTAAACACCTCGACGCAGCAGCAGCGGCCGCAGCGGCGGTGGCGGCGGCTACGGCGTGTTATCGGCAACCGCGGTGCGCCGGGCTCGGCTGGCCGGTGTGGTGGGGGGAGGGGAGGTGCGGGCACGAGACCTGGTCCTTGATGTGGATCATGCAGGTGACGGCGGAGACGAGCGGCAGCGCCACGTGGGCGCACGGCTGCCCCGCGCCGCCGTCGCCGCCGTGGAGGCTCCACACGAGGATGGCGCCGCTGTTGCGGCACGCGGCCAGCAGCTTCCCCTCCTGCGCGACGGGCAGTCGGTGAGTGGGGGGGCAGGGGGAAGCAGGGAGAAGCAAGGGGGAAGCAGGGAGCACAGGGAGGAGTTGGGGTGGGGGGGGTGAGCGGTGTTTGCTGCACCTCTGGAAGCAGCAGGAAGCAGCGCAGCAGCGTGTAGCAGCCGTCGTTGATCATCCCGAAGCGCCGGCGCTCCTCACCCGCCCGGCTCACCACCACCACGAACCGCTCCACGCCTACAGGTACACAAAGACAAAGGGGGTCCCCGTGTGTAGCCTCAACAGACTGGTGGGGCAAGTAGCCCTCATCCACGACCCCCTCCCAGCCCCCCTCCCTCCCATCCCCCCCTCCCTCCCATCCTCCCCCTCCCATTCCCCCTCCCTCCCATTCCCCCTCCCTCCCATCCCCCCCTCCCTCCCATCTCCCCCCCCTCCCTCCCATCCCCCCTCCCTCCCATCCCCCCCCTCACCCCCCCACAGGCCCCCCCCACGCCCCCCCTCCCCAGGCCCCCCCTCCCATCCCTCCCTCCCTCCCATCTCCCCCCTCCCTCCCATCTCTCCCCCTCCCTCCCATCCCCCCCCTCACCCCCCCCCACGCCCCCCCTCCCCAGGCCCCCCCTCCCTCCCATCTCCCCCCCTCCCTCCCATCCCCCCCCTCCCATCTCCCCCCTCCCACCCCCCTCCCTCCCATTACCCCCCCTGACCCCCTCACAGGCCCCCCCCCTCACCACCCCCCCCCCCCCACGTGAGACGCACAGCACCACAGTTCGCCGCCGTGGAGCTGCACGGAGGTGAGCGAGCGGCAGTCGGGCAGGCGGACGTGGCGCGCCGCCTCCAGCGCGTGCACGTCCCACGTGATCATGTGGCCGTCGGCGCTGCACGAGATCACTCCGCTGCGCGCGCGCACACACAGCGAAGACAAAGATCCCCCGTGTAGCCTTCACAGAGTGTTGGGGCAAGCGCTGCTAGCGAGTGGCGCCTACGAAGGTCGGCACTGTGGGACACGTAGGGGTGGGTGGCCGGCACCACGCCCGACCGCCTTCGTCTGGCGGCGATGTTTACGCGCTGCACCGGGTACTCATTTGAGGCCGAGTCGACCTAGGGGATGCCCAGGACCGGTTCAGATAATCTTCACTGGTGTTGGCCGTGAGTGTGAATGGAACTCGGGTCGCCGTGTTCGTAGCACAGCGTAGCGCTCACCGCTACACTACCGGCACGCCAGGTAGCATAGCGCACACCATGAACACACACACACAACGCGCATGCACACACAACACAACACGCACACACACAACGTGCATACACACACAACGTACATGCACACACACACACTACACACGTACAATACATACGCACACACAGAATGCACACGCACACACAACACGGTGTGTCTCCCTACAACAAAAGAATGACCTGGCAAGCGACAGTCATATATTTTTGCATGGTTTTTTTTTAGACCCGACAATTGTTCTGCAATCGAGCAATCGCCGTGACATTTTCCGACCGCGCCGCCGGTTCTGCGAGAGCCGAGCGGAAAGCGCGCAGGAGCGCAGGGAGGGCAGGAGTGCAGGATGGCAGGGAGGGCAGGAGGGCGGGAGGGCAGGAGGGCGTTGCTCGATGGGCGACAGAGATTCACAGCGGGCTTCGACTGAACACAGAAGCGCCATGGTGACCACCGTCTAGGACCACCGTCTTGGCTCCCCGCAGAGACGAGACGGCAGCCATCGGCACGTGAACTCCGACCCCCCCCCCCCATCCACGTAACTCGGATAGGAGACGCCCCGATAGTTGAGGATCAGTGCGGGCCCCCTTCAGAATTGGACTGAGCAAGGACGCGTCGTGTGGACCAGACGGTGGTGATGATGTCACAAAGGGCCTCTTCATCATCGTCGTCGTCGTCACGATTCGTGGGCGGATAGCCGGTAGGTGTCCACGTCATTTGTGTTTACACTTTCCTCTCTGCCTTGCAGTGCCAATTTTCCCAAGTGCAGTCGTGCCACGTAGTTCTTGCTCTCATCTCCGATGTCGTCGAGAAGCCATTCTCTGCGAGGTCTTCCTCTCTCCCGTTCCTTCCACACTTTTACCTTCTAACCTAGGACGACATCCTGCACACAAATGCCCCTCTCCCTCGCCAGTTCGCTCGAGAGGTCGTCTCGAGCCGGCGCTTTGTCTCACCCCGCTTCTTCAACAGATGGCACATCAGCTGGCCACTTGCAGGGAGAGGCTACTTCCTCCAATATTTGAGGAAATGGCCATGCACACGCTTACAATGCACACGCACACAAATACCCATACACAACGACAGCCGCCGTTCGCCACTAAGTGGCGGTGACGTCAACACAGTGCTTGTGCCAGACTAGGTGCACTTTAGGGCTGTGACGTGAAGTGTGGAAGGCCCTCTGCCGGCATCACGGGACATAGGTGCCCGTGGGTTGACTATGAGATGACGACGGGCAGATGCACCACCTGTGTTACCTACTGTGCTACCTACTGTGCCAACTTGCTGTTTTATCCGTCCGGCGCTCCGCTCGTTGTTGTGAGCCACGCTCTCGCCCCCCCTCCGCTCTTTCTGGAGGGCGACTGCCTCCAACTGCCCAGTAGCAGCGTCCTTCACGAGACTCCTCCACAGAGGCCGATCTTGACACCGCTGGTGCCAGTCATCAGCAAGTCCATGCAGTTCCACATCCTCTCGTACTAACCCATCAGTCCATCTCTATCTCTGCGCCCGTTTAGCTCCCTCCATCCATCCAAACAGAAGCTGATTGGGCATGCAGAGTCTGGGCATGCTGAGTCTGGGCATGCGTGCTGCGTGACCCAGCCAACGCAGCGTCGCCTGCCGGAGGAGCTCACCGATGATGATGACGGGGCTGTCCAGATCTTCACAAGTACCTGTGAGCTCCTCACACAACCCACCCTTGTTAAACCCCTGGAGCATCGGAGGCAGGACAGCCGATCCGGACGTCGCTGCTACCGGTGCACACGCACATACACGCACGCGCACACACGCACATACACGCACATACACGCACGCACACACACGCACACACACGCGCACACACACGCACACACACGCACATACACGCACGCACACACACGCACACACACGCGCACACACGCGCACACACACGCACATACACGCACGCATACACACGCGCACACACGCGCACACACACGCACATACACGCACGCACACACACGCACACACACGCGCACACACGCGCACACACACGCATACACGCACGCACACACACGCGCACACACGCGCACATACACGCACGCACACACACGCACACACACGCGCACACGCGCGCATACACGCACGCACACACACGCGCACACACGCGCACATACACGCACGCACACACACGCACACACACGCGCACACGCGCGCATACACGCACGCACACACACGCGCACACACGCGCACATACACGCGCACACGCGCACGCACACACGCACACACTCCGCTCTCGCCCCTCACGTGTGCTGGCCGTCGCCCGCTGGCCGCTGGTCGTCGTCGTCGTCGTGCAGGAGGTCGGTGACCTCGTCGGCGTGCCCCGCCAGGTGGCGGCGGCAGCCCAGCGCGCCGCCCGCGTGCCCCTCCAGGATGTAGACGCTCCGGTCGGACGAGGCGGCCCACACCTGGGAGCCCCCCACGCACAGCAGGCGGTTCTACACGGGGGGCGGGGGGGGGGGCACGGGCGTGAGGGTGAGTACGAGCGCACACGGGGGGGGGGATTCCATATGCGTGTGTGTGATGACGCGTGTGTGTAATGACACGTGTATGTGTGTGATGACGCATATGTATGTGTGTGTGTGTGTCTGATGACGCGTGTGTGTGTGTGTGATGAGGTGTGTGTGTGTGGGAGTAGTTTAGCAGTTAGCGCGCTGCGCTGTGAACCCGGCGACCCGGCTTCGATTCCCAGCTCACGGCCAACACCAGTGACGATTATCTGAACTGGTCCTAGGCCTCCCCTAGGTCGACTCTGCCTCAAAATGAGTAGCTGGTGCAGTATGTAAGCATCGCCACTGGGGAGACAAAGGCGGTCGGGCGTGGTGCTGGCCACCCACCCCCTCGTGTACCGTTCCGGCCTTCATAGGTGCTCGCTAACAGCACTTGCCCCTCCAGTCTGTTAAGGCTACACGGGGGATCTTTGTCTGTTTGTGTCCGCGTCACCAGTCTCTTGGTGCCGGCCTGCAGGTGTCCGTGCTCCACGGTCCAGGTGGCCGCGTCGAACACGACGACGCGGCCCCCGCTCAGAGCGCACCACAGCCGGGGGGGGGTGCCCTCTCCGCCCCCCCCGCCGTGCAGCAGCTCGCCTGGGGGGATGAGGAGGGGGGCGGGGGGGGGGTAGAGCGATGGACGGGGGTCACGTCACTTACAAAGACAAAGGTCACCCAGACAGCCCGGTCGTCTGCCTCCGAGGTCCCTCCGAGCGACGCAGCGGCGACACGTGCTTCACGCCAAGGGGGGGGGGGTGGGGGGGGGGGGTGTGGGGGGGGGTTTGGGTGTGGGGGGTCGCGAGGGGTGGGGGGGCCGCACCCGGCACGTAGAGCAGCGCGTCGACGGCCAGCGGCTTGCCCTGCGCCGGCGTCACCCGGTGCACCAGCGTGTCCAGCGTGTCCAGCGCGGCCAGCGGGACCGCTCTCCACCGACACTGAGCACGGGGGGTAGGGGGGGTGTCAGGGTTAGGGGGGTCAGGGTTAGGGGGGGGTCAGGGGGTCACGGGAGGGATGGGCGAGGGGAGCGGAGGGCCGCTTGGGACAGTTCACGGTGGCGGAACCCACCATGACACCCGACACATTTTTATTTTATTGAACTTTGTGTGTTTGGAGAAATTACATATATGGGTCTCTGTGGATCCGTGTGAATCGATGGGGCTCTGTGATAATCTGTGGGTCTCTGTGTCAGTCTAAGGATCTCTGTATTAGTCCGTGGGTCTCTGTGTAGGTCTACAAGTCTCTGGATGAACCCGTGTCCATTGCGGCCAGATCTACAACCCAGACTCTACAGCTGCTGCTGCTCCGTTTGCTACTCAGTCCACGTCCGTACGCAAGAGAGCGAGAGCACGGGGGAGCGTGGGCATGAGGTGGCGGGGAGGGCTGGGGGGGAGGGCTGGGGGAGAGGGGTGTCACCTCGAGCGTCCTCCCGCGTGCAGTGCGCCAGCATGGCGGCGGCCGTGGCGGCGCGCTTGCGCCGCACGCACTGCGCCACCGCGTCCATGAGCAGCACGTTGGTGAGCGCCCGGTGCACGAACTGCGCGTCCTGCACGCGGCACGGGGCGGGGGGCGGGCGTGCGCGACGGCTCACGTGACTTTTTATTTATCAAGCGGAGTCGCCCGCCGTGGCGCTCCACCCCCCCCCACCCCTCACCCCCCCTCCCACCCCCACCCCCCACCCCCCCACTCCCACCCCCACCCCCCACCCCCCCGCCGCCCCCCGCACCTTGAGCGCGTGGGCGAGCCGCTTGCCGGCGCGCATCTCGCGCACCGCCAGGCACCAGGGTCCGTGCTGCTCCTTGAGGTTGGCGACGAAGGGCGCCCCGGGGTGGCGCCGCGAGACGACGCGCAGCGCCTGCAGGCGCGGCCGCAGCACCCCCAGCGTGGACACCTCCTGCACGTCCTGGGGGCGCGCCGCAGGCGGCGGGCGACGTTCGCGACGGGAACAGCGGTGAGCGATTTACGGCGAGGCTTGACGACACAAATTTGGCCAGATCACTCCGTGGCTACTTAATTGCCCGAAAAATCTATGGTGAAATCCGCATCGACCGAGAACCGAGATTGCGTTTCCTGGAGTTCAAACTCGCCGGGTTCGCGGCGCGCCATGCTCACCGCTGCACCACCGCTCCGCAAATCGTCGTGCCGCTGTCGATTTATCGAACGGGGTCGGTCATCATCATCGTCATCACCATCAACGTCACTCATGAAGACGCATTTCTTCAGAGCTGCTTCCTGTGTTTAGTGTTGTTGTCCTTCCCCCCCCCCCCGCACCTGCGATTAGTGCGGTCGGCTACGCACGGTGCGAAAAAAGCTCAACGTATGTGCGTCTCGCGGTCGTCGCGACGCGGACGGTCTCTCACCTCGATGTCGCTGAACTTGGCGATGTCGACGAAGGGCACCGCCGCTCCGTCCCGCAGCAGGAAGAGGCGCGACTGCGTCATGGCCACGCGGCCCTGCCCCAGGCTGGTCAGCACCACCGGCGACACCTGGCACACACAGACGCAGATCCCCCGTGTAGCCTTGACAGACTCTTGGGGCAAGTGCTGTTAGCGAGCACCTATAAGGCCGGTACGATACACGAGGGGGTGGGTGGCCGCCACCACACCCGGCCGCCTTTGTCTACCCAGTGGCGATGTTTACGCATTGCACCGGGTATTAATTTGAGGCCGAGTCGACCTAGGAGAGGCCCAGGACCGATTCAAATAATCGTCACCGGTGTTGGCCGTGCGCGGGTATTGAATTCGGGACCACCCGGGGTCCATAACACGGTGTGCCACTGCTCCAAATGCCCCCCACCTGGCATGAACACACCATCACCACCATCACCACCATCACCACCATCACCGCTGTGAGCCATGATCCATCCACTGCTGGGTGAAGGCCTCATCACTAAGCCTTTGCCATCTCCTGGCATCTCACGATGCAGCAAGAATCTACCGAGCTCGTCCCCATCGTGGACGTCCTCTCCCCTTTGACTGCCACTCATTAGTCTCAACCACCGGCCGTGGTCCCTTCCATCCGTGGGAGTCTCCTGCCCAAGCCCCTCCCCCTTCCTCGAGTCCACGCGAGTCTCCGACACGCACGCACCCTCCGATCCATCCGTTCCTCGCCCGCTCAGAAGCGACCTGGCCACAAATGATAGCTCAACGAAGTGGCTTATCATCGCGTGGAAATTTAGAGCAGCCAAGTACGTGATGTTGATTCTAAATGTGGAGGGAAAAAACCGGAGGACCCTGAGAAACATCCACGCGACCACGGGGAGAGAGAGACACACACAAACTCCAAACATACAGCAGCAGGCGAGATAGTTAACATCTCCTAGCCACCGTGGTATTCACAAGCACGCGTCCAGCACCCCGGTTCCCAAAGGAGGTACCGGGTCGCGACACGGGCGGCCGTGAGCGCCGAGTGCGTGTGGCGACTGCGGTGCCGTGCGTGCAGTGCGGGGCGCGTGCGGGGCGTGTGCGGGGCACCTTGTAGACGATCTCGCTACTGTCCAGGCGGGCGAGCGCCTCCACGGGCAGCGAGAGCTCCCGCGCCGCCCGCTCGGTGGCGCGCCACGCCTCGTACAGCCGTCGCACCGCGTCGGCGGGCAGCACCTCGCCACGGCCTGGAGGCGGGGGTCGCACGCGCGCCACCTTACGCAATCGCCGCTAAACGCGCTCCCTGCCATTGCGCTCGTCGCCAACGCGCCCGTCGCGAGCGAGACGGCCCGGTTCGACCGTGTAAGCAAAGAAGCCGCGGCCCCAGGGGACGGCGGTAACCAGGGCAGACCCCGTTGGCCGCCGTCGCTGCCGCCGCGCCTCCCAACCCTTCCCCTCCTCCGCCCGCCCGCCCGCCCGGCCGGCCCCGTCGCCCGCGTGCCTCACCGTTGGTGAGGGCGCCGAACAGGCGCCCGACGGTGGCCGGGTCGCACGTGATGCCCGCCTCCCGCACGCAGGTGCCCAGCTCGTCGCAGGAGAGCGGCGCCGAGGGCAGCGCGAAGCTGCGCACGCGGCCGTCCGGCGAGCCCGTCGGGCCCAGCGGCCCCGCCGCGTGGGGGGGCAGCGCCGGCTCGTCCACTTCCTCCTGCAGCAGCCACCTGGGGGGGCGTGCGGGGGGGGGCACGGGTTAGACCGGGGGGGGGGGGGGGGGGAGGGCTGGCCCGGGCTGGAGACATCCGCTTGAGAAACAATAAATTGCAGTGCCGCCGATTTCAGAAAGTCAGAATCTTTATTTATCCTGGAGGAATCCGATGAGCTGGAAAGCTCTTTTGTCACGGATGTCCAGTAGCAATGTAATGCACCAACGTAACGGTTGGCGATAGATTTTATTGTTTGTTTGGGTCTGATCGCCGTGCGAGTCCAATGTTAGGTGGTTACACCCTCCTCCGCCCGACGCAGCTGATCAATAAGGTTGTGGCGTGAACCTAAACGTGGCCGGTTTATCACGGAGGCCTCTGCAGCAGCAGCAGCAGCGCCGCCGGGAGTGTCGCTGGAGAGAGTTCCAGACGCGCGTGGAGAAGGGTGCACGACACAACATTGCACTCACGCGATCCGACAACCGAAATTCAATTATGAATCACAGTCCCATGGGGTGGGGGAGGGGGGGGGGTTCTGCGTGTGAGAGAGAGAGAGAGGCAATGGGACCACCACATTGTTACTAAACCCATCACACTCGCTGTCACTGCAACCTCATCCATCACACAACCCTATACTTTCTCAAAGAACGGCACCTCCCATATTCTGTTCTTTCTTTTCCTCGAAAGTACAATGTTCTACAATGCTATGACATTGTTCGTTCGTGGGGTGTCCACCAGTCACCCGTTTCTAAATGTGGAGGGAAAAACAGGAGGACCCGGAGAAAAATCCACGCAACCACGGGGAGAGAGACACGCAAACTCCAAGTATACAGCAGCAGGCGTCAGGGTCGGTATCAAACCCACGTCCTCCTGTATCCCAGGCGAGGTAGTTGACACCTCCCAGCTACCGTGGTGCCCCTCACCTGAGCTCGGCCCGCTCCTCCACCTGGGCTCGCGCCCACGTGGGCAGCAGCAGCAGGATCCTCCGCGCCTCGTCGGGCGGCACCACCGACTTGTCCATCTTGGAGATGCTGCAGGGACGACGCGCACGCGACGGTGTGTCATTGCGTGTTCGCATGTGTAAGTCACGTGGCTTCTGTGTGGCCACCCCCACTCTGAACCCCTCCCCTCTCCTATCCCCGCCCACTGTGAGAACAGACGCCGCTCCTTCGCCTGCGTGCAGCAGCAGCAGCGTGGAGGCCCTGACGCAGCCTCTCCCTCCTTGCTATAAATTTCCACGTGATGATGATGATGGTAACAAGCCGCTTCGTTGGACTATCATTTGTGATAGCCTGGTCGCTTGTGAAAAAGAGCTACGTAGCAGCCCAGTGTGGGCCTTACACCTGGCAACATAAATAAATAAATATTAAATGTTACCTGTGCAGGTCTTGGAGCGCCAGCTCCGGTTGGCGGCTCGCGAGCCGGGCGCCGGCGCGCACCGCGTGGAGCGCCGCCCGCAGCCCCCAGCGGCTCGGCGCCACCTGCCCCAGCGCCGCCCCCAGCGCCACGCACAGCCCCTCGCAGTAGCGCTGCCCCTCGCCGGGCAGCAGCGGGTCCGGGGGCAGCGGGGGCAGCGTGAAGACCGCTCCGTCGTCCCACGGGTCGGGGCCCCAGGGCTCCATCGGTGGTGCCGGCGGAGCGGGACCTGGCAGAGAGGATCGACGTTAACGCTGACCCCCTGCCCCTTGCCCCCTGCACCCTGCCCCTCGCCCCCTGCCCCTTGCCCCTTGCCCCCCGCCCCTCGCCCCCTGCCCCCTGCCCCGTGCCCTCTGACAAAGGATCCACCTGCGAACGCGAGGCTGCTGGGGTCGTGCTCCTCCCCAGGATGCGTCGTCGTGACTCCCTCGCCGAGGTGAGCGCTGGTCGGACGCGGCTGCTGACGCGCTCGCTCCTCTGTCGTGCGCCGGCGCAGGCTGCGCAGCATCTCCTGCTTCATCCTGCACGTGGGCGGCAAGGGAGCGAGAGGTCACGCGGGTGAGGGGTCACACGGGTGAGGGGTCACGCAGGTGAGGGGTCACGCGGGTGAGGGGTCACGCGGGTGAGGGGTCACGTGGGTGAGGGGTCACGCGGGTGAGGGGTCACGTGGTACGGTTGAGCTGCTCACTTCTGCGACCAGGAGCTAGATTTGTTCTCCAGGCGAGAGAAGGAGTCGGCCTTCTGCGCCAGGCGGTCCTTGAGGAACAAATCGAACACGTCCGTGTCCAGCACCTGCACACAGCGACGAGGAGAGGGGAGGTGAGGAGAGGGGAGGCGAATTGAGACCGCCCTGCGAGAGATATCGGATGGATACATCGCAATCAGGACCAACACTGGGAAGGGGGGGGGGGGGGGTGGCGGGAAATTACGCGTGCTCATTTCTTTTTACAAAGGTTATCTTGTGAGGTGTGCGCGAGGCGTCACCTTGCGGTAGAAGGGCAGGTCCGCAGGTCTCCGTGACTCGAGGAATTCCTCGCGGCTGAACACTCGCTGTTCCACGTCCAGGTGCGCTAACACCTCCCTGTGTCGGACGTCAGCACAGAGCCCCTCAGTGTACCACGACACAGCCTGGCACGCCGGGAACCGTCACGCTGTGTGGTACTGCGTCGTAACGATAACGTGGCTAAAGAGTGGTCGTCGTCGCCGTCGTCGTGACCGATCGAGCCGCCCTCCCCTCACACCCGGTCGTATCGCGTCGGCGCCCTACCGGAACGCGCGGTGGATGAAGCCCAGGAAGAGCTCCTGGATGCATGCGTTGAGCCGCTGGCGCCGGGCGCGCGCCGCTCGCCGCAGCTCGTGCAGGGAGCACGGGGTCGCGACCCCCAGCGCGTGAGCCTCCTCGCGGACGCAGACGTGGCGGCAGCTGCGTTGCGCGCGGGGGACACGCCGGGGGACACGCCGGTGACGAACACACTCCGGTGAACTCGCTCCCGGAGAACGCAATTATAATAATGACGAGATTGTATACAGCGACGTCATTTATACAGCTGCATCCCACGGCGCTACTGATGGAGGCGTCCCAAGACTAAGATGTCTTCAGCAAATTAATGATGAGCTTTCGTATGCAAGTGGGAGGAAACTGGAGCACCCGGGGAAAATCTATGCGTGCGAGGGGGCAATGCTGTATCCCATTCAAAAACCACGGATGACGTTAATCCCCTTTTATGGTGGGGACCGCCTTCTCCCGGCGGGCCACGGCACGGCAGCTGTTCGATGGCCCCAACTCCGCCTGCTGCCCCCGCGGCGCCGATTCACAGGCAGCCACGTGCAGCGGCATAGCCACCACCGCTGCCGCCAAACATCAATGAAATAATCATTCAACGTATTTTCTGTGGTCTTAAAGGGCGAGAAAGCGGGAGGGAGGGAGCCCATGTGGGCGCCACGGTGGCGAGATGTTAACTACCTCGCCTGGTATATAGGATTATAGGAGGTCGTGGGTTCCATCCCAACCCTGACGCCTGCTGTATTGAGTTTGCGTGTCTTTCTCCCCGTGGTCGCGTGGATTTTTCTCCACATTTAGATTCAACATCACCACGCGTTTAGAGCATTTGGCTGCTGAGCCACTTCGTTGAGCTATCATTTGTGACAGCCAGGACGCTTCTGAAAAAGAGCGAGACAGCTCAGTGGGCCTTACCTGGTAAAACAAAAATAGTTTATCCCCATATCCCCCCTACGTGGATCCACCACTGTGGTTGAACACACTCTGATGAACACCCCGATGAACACCCCGATAAACACACCGGGTCAGGGGTCGTCACCTGCTTAAGAACGCCTCCGCCGCCTCCTCGGGAGGAGCGATGAGGGGGGTCAGGGGCTGCCCGTCGGGTGTCCCGGGGGGCCCCGCGGATCCCGGGGGGTACCCGGGCACACTGGCCGGCGTGGGGACGAGCTGCCCGCTGTCCAGGTCCACGATCACCAGGTCCTCCACCTGTCCGCACCGCGACAACGACACAGTCACCACATCTACTCGTGGCCTTGCCCCCCACCTCATCTCCCCTCTCTCACCTCCTTCCATGTCCCCTCCCCTCGTCCTCTGCGTCCTCAGTCTCCTCTCTCTCCCCCCTTCTCCCTGTGCTCAATCCCATTTTCGTTCCTTCCGTGCCTCTCTTACAGCTCCCCTGTACAGCCTCCACGGACTGTTGGGGCAAGCGCTGTTAGCGAGTAGCACCTGCGAAGGCCGGCACGGCGCACCAGAGGGTGGGTGGCCAGCACCATGCTCAGCCGCCTTTGTCTCCCTCGACGTTTACACACCGCACCAGTTCGTCACTTGAGGCTGCGTCGACCTAGGGTAGGCCCAGGACCAGTTCAAACATTCGTCACCGATGTTGGCCGCGAGTGGGAATCGAACTCGGCTAGCCGAGGTTCGCTGCACCACCGCTCCCCGTACTCGCTCGCAAAACCAACACACACCCTACACCCCAGCCGGGCAATCGAACCCAGGTACCCTCCTGTTGTAAGTTCGCCGAGCTTCTTTCGCGCCGTACATAACCAACCGTCTTAATGGGAGGCGCGTCAGCACTGCCCCGCCGATGGGGCCGACTCACCTGGCTGATGACGTGCTTGTGCCCGCTCACCTGGCTGACGGCGTGCTTGTGCCGCTCACCTGGTTGACGGCGTGCTTGTGCCCGCTCACCTGGCTGACGGCGTGCTTGTGCCCACTCACCTGGCCGATGGCGTGCTTGTGCCCGCTCACCTGGCTGATGGCGTGCTTGTGCCCACTCACCTGGCTGATGACGTGCTTGTGCCCGCTCACCTGGCTGATGACGTGCTTGTGCCCACTCACCTGGCTGATGACGTGCTTGTACCTGCTCACCTGGCTGATGGCGTGCTTGTGTCTGCCGTGCGTGCCCATCAGGTAGACGGTGGGCGCCTCCAGGAAGCCCAGCATGGAGCTGGCGAGCACGGGCACGAAGGTGTGGCGCCAGCACAGCGGCGCGAGGAACGCCAGCAGGCTGTGCCCCACCGGCGCCAGCAGGGCCCACTCGGCCGACAGCAGCACCAGCTTCTGCTCCAGCAGCAGGCACGTGAGCACCTGGGACGAGGCACACCGTCACGTGTGTAAGTGTGTGTCTGTACGTGTGTGTGTGTGTATGTGTGTGTACGTGTGTGTGTGTGTGTAGCAGTTAGCACGCTGCGCTATGAACCTGGCGAGCCGAGTTCGATTCCCGATCACGGCCAACACCGGTGACGATTATCTGAACCGGTCCTGGGCCTCCCCTAGGTCGACTCAGCCTCAAATGAGTACCTGGTGCGGTGTGTAAACATCGCCACTAGGGAGACAAAGGCGGCCGGGCGTGGCGTTGGCCACCCCCTCGTGTGTCGTTCCGGCCTTCATAGGTGCTCGCTAACAGCACTTGCCCCAACAATCTGCTGAGGCTATACGGGGGATCTTTGTCGTTGTGTGTGCACCTGGCCTGACACTGGCTTCGTACTGACGTCACCATCACTGAGTGGCGAATGGCGGGTATCGGTATCGGTATTAGTGAGAACAGCAATGTCCTGGGGCCTGGATGTGAACAGAGGCGGACAGCACGAAGGGACTGGGGGGGTGGGGGTGCTGAGCGGGGGTAGCGGGGGGGGGGACACCTGCAGGAGGTGGTGCGAGCGCAGGCAGGTGAAGGGCACCGTCAGGTCGAGGTCGTGGACCTCCGAGTCGGAGGGCGGCAGCAGCACGCGCAGCGGCCCCATCTCCACGCACTGCGGGGAGAGAGAGGGCGGGAGAGGCCACTCAGGGCAGCAGCAGCAGCAACAACAACCGCAACGGTGATCACAACAACAACAACAACCACAACAATGATCGCAACAACAACAATAACAACAGCAACACTCACTAAGACCACAACGACAACGACAATAACGGCGGTGACCACAACAAATATCCACAGCCGTCACAACAACAATAACATTGCAACAACCACAACAAGATACGGTGAGGGATGGATTTAGGGTGTGATAGGGTGAGAGATAAGAAGAGGGAGTCGGGGAAGAGTTAGCGGAGAGGGTTCGGGATGGAGTGAGACACTGGACGAGAGTCTGGGATTGGCTTAGAGAGAAGAGTAGGGACAGGGGGTAGGGACAGGGGTAGGGAGAGGGGGGCTAGGGGGGTAGGGCTAGGGGGGGGGGCTAGGGGGGGGGGCTAGGGGGGTAGGGCCCGGGGTCTCACCAGGTGGAGGGGTCCTGGTGGGGCGAGGGGCACGAGGAAGAGTCGAGCGGCGAATCGTGACACCTCCACCACCACCGCCGCCTCCTCCGTCACGGAGACGGAGGTGGTGGTGGTGGTGGCACAGGGCCGACTTGCCAGCGCGTGGGACAGCCTGCGGGGCAAGGCGCCATCACCACCACCATCGTCGTTATCAGCATCACAATCAACAACATCGACATAACTAACATCACAATAATCACCAGCATCACCGTGATCATCATCGAGAACACAATCATCAACATCGCCAACACCAACATCACCAATATCATCATCAGCAATCTCCATTATTACAAATATCAACATTACCATCGTCACCAAAATCATCAGCATCACCGTCATCGACATCGCCATCGCTAACCGCCCTCACGTCCATCACTTCACTCACCACGAGAGGAATTCCTGGAGCGCGGTGAAGTATGGAGCCCGGGAAATTAGACACACACAGATGGGGGCATACAAGGCTACCGCAGGCCCCCCACTCTGCCCTGCTTCCTTGAGACCTCCACTCTCCCCAACTCCCTTGAGACCTCCACTCTCCCCAACTCCCTTGAGACCTCCACTCTCCCCAACTCCCTTGAGACCTCCACTCTCCCCAACTCCCTTGAGACCTCCACTCTCCCCAACTCCCTTGAGACCTCCACTCTCCCCAACTCTCTTGAGACCTCCACTCTCCCCAACTCCCTTGAGACCTCCACTCTCCCCAACTCCCTTGAGACCTCCACTCTCCCCAACTCCCTTGAGACCTCCACTCCCCCCAACTCCCTTGAGACCTCCACTCTCCCCAACTTCCTTGAGACCTCCACTCTCCACAACTTTCTTGAGACCTCCACTCTCCCCAACTCCCTTGAGACCTCCACTCTCCCCAACTCCCTTGAGACCTCCATTCCCCCAAACTCCCTTGAGACCTCTACTCTCCCCAACTCCCTTGAGACCTCCACTCTCCCCTGCTCCCTTGAGACCTCCACTCTCCCCTGCTTCCTTGAGACCTCCACTCTCTCCAAGTCCCTTGAGACCTCCACTCTCTCCTGCTTCCTTGAGACCTCCACTCTTCCCAACTCCCTTGAGACCTCCACTCTCCCCAACTCCCTTGATACCTCCACTCTCCCCTGCTCCCTTGAGACCTCCACTCTCCCCTGCTTCCTTGAGACCTCCACTCCCCCCAACTCCCTTGAGACCTCCACTCCCCCCAACTCCCTTGAGACCTCCACTCCCCCCAACTCCCTTGAGACCTCCACTCTCCCCAACTCCCTTGAGACCTCCACTCTCCCCAACTTCCTTGAGACCTCCACTCTCTCCAACTCCCTTGAGACCTCCACTCTCCCCAGCTCCCTTGAGACCTCCACTCCCCCCACCTCCCTTGAGACCTCCACTCTCCCCAACTCCCTTGAGACCTCCACTCTCCCCAACTCCCTTGAGACCTCCACTCTCCCCAACTTCCTTGAGACCTCCACTCTCCCCAACTTCCTTGAGACCTCCACTCTCCCCAGCTTCCTTGAGACCTCCACTCTCCCCAACTCCCGTGAGACCTCCACTCTCCCCTGCTTCCTTGAGACCTCCACTCTCCCCAGCTTCCTTGAGACCTCCACTCTCCCCATGTGTTTTGGGCCCCCCACTCTCTCCATTGACCATTCTTGTCCGTGTCTCTTCCTGGAATTCACACACACATACACACACACATACACACATACACACACACGCACATACACATACACTCTCCATTATCCGGGGAACAGAGTGAGAGCGAGTGGCTGGTGAGTGAGTGAGTGGTTCGTGAGTGAGTGGCTGGTGAGTGGTTCGTGAGTGAGTGGCTGGTGAGTGAGTGGCTGGTGAGTGAGTGGCTGGTGAGTGACCGGTGAGTGGCTGGTGAGTGAGTGGCTGGTGAGTGAGTGGCTGGTGAGTGGCTGGTGAGTGGTTGGTGAGTGAGTGGCTGGTGGGTGAGTGAGTGGCTGGTGAGTGGCTGGTGAGTGGCTGGTGAGTGGCTGGAGAGTGAGTGAGTGGCTGGTGAGTGGTTGGTGAGTGGCTGGTGAGTGGTTGGTGAGTGGCTGGTGAGTGAGTGGCTGGTGAGTGAGTGGCTGGTGAGTGAGTGGCTGGAGAGTGGCTGGTGAGTGAGTGGCTGGTGAGTGAGTGGCTGGAGAGTGGCTGGTGAGTGAGTGGCTGGTGAGTGAGTGGGTGGTGAGTGAGTGGCTGGTGAGTGAGTGGCTGGTGAGTGGCTGGTGAGTGACCGAGTGAGTGGCTGGTGAGTGAGTGGCTGGTGAGTGAGTGGCTGGTGAGTGAATGGCTGGAGAGTGGCTGGTGAGTGAGTGGCTGGAGAGTGGCTGGTGAGTGACCGGCTTACGTGCTGGGGCTGGCGCACGGCCCGGTAGTGAGTCAGCACCACACCATAGGCGCGCTGACCCCTCATATCGGTGAGCGCCAGTGAGTGGAACCGGTCTGGGACCGGCCCTGCCAGCACACGCAGCCCATCTACACACACACGGGGAGCACCTTGCTACAGGACTACTACACAAAGATCCCCCATATAGTCTTCAGCAGACTTGGGGAAAGAGCTGTTAGCGAGCACCTGTGAAGGGGGGGGGGGGGGGCAGCACCAGGCCCGGCCGCCTTTGTCCACACACCGCATCAGCTACTCAATTGAGGCCGAGTCGACTTAGGGGCAAGCCCAGTTCAGATATTCGTCACCAGTGTTGGTCGTGAGCGTGAATCGAACTCGGGTCACCGAGTTCGTAGCCGAGTGCTGATAAGCACAACACCACCAGTACTGCACAAAGACAAAGGTCATCCGTATAGCCTTAACAGACTGTAGGGGCAAGTGCCGTTAGCGAGTAGCACCTGTGAAGGCCCGCACTGCACACGGGGGGTGGGTGGCCGGCACCACGCCCGACCGCATTTGCCTCCCCAGTGGCGATGTTTACACAGCGCTCCAGGTCCTGATTTGAGGCTAAGTCGCCCTAGGGGAGGCCCATGATCAGTTCAGATAATCGTCACTGGTGATGGCCATGAGCAGGAAACGAACTCGGGTCGCCGGAACAGCGCGCTAACCACTACTCTACCACACACACACTCACAGATACACCCCAATCTCTCACATCCCCTCTCACACACACACACACTCTCATCAGCAACAGCCGCCATTCACAACTCAGTGGCGATAACATAACCGCGGCGCGTGTGCCAGGCTAGGTGCACTTTGAGGCCATCGTGCCCATTGCGGAAGGCTCGCTGCTGCCAGGAGGTCACACGGGACCGACCCAGGTGGTACGGCGTCACTGACTGGGATGGCTGCACGATGCACCACCCGTGCTCTACCATGCCACCTTGTGGTGATGTATCCGCGAGGTCTGATACCGGCGGCTCTTATTCACCTGGCGGGGTGCGAGACGTGGCCAGATCTTTACTTGGAACAGAGGCGGGGAACCTTTTTTATGCCAAGGGCCATTTGGTTATTTATAACATCATTCGCGGGCCATACACAATTATCAACTTTAAAATGTGCCTGTTATATTTGGTCAAACATTTAACTCGCCCCTAATGTGATGGCTGGAACTGCTTCTCAGTGGCGAGGCGTGTGATGTTAGCTGGTATTGATGATGTTGCTACTCGCAACTGCTTTTCCAGGTTTGCTCCTAGATTTATTGAATTTCGAGTCCCGCCTGCGGTTGCCTTGGCAGGGCCACACCAAATGATTTTGCGGGCCTTATACGGCCCGCGGGCCTTATACGGCCCGCGGGCCGGACGTTCCCCACCCCTGATTTAGAAGGTAAATCATCGAAACACAAATTCAGCACGAGCACGGGCACTTAATTTGTATCACGTAGGGTTTTGCGACCAATACTATTATTATGAACCCTATGTATGTATGAACATTATAAATGTTTTAACGCTTAAGAACCAAAGGGGTGCTGGGCTGCAGCAAAGGTTAAGCACCACTGTCTGAGACACTCACACACTCTCTATCTCTCACACACACTCACACACTCTCTATCTCTCACACACACTCACACACTCTCTATCTCTCACACACACTCACACACTCTCTATCTCTCACACACACTCACACACTCTCTATCTCTCACACACACTCACACACTCTCTATCTCTCGCACACACTCACACACTCTCTATCTCTCGCACACACTCACACACTCTCTATCTCTCACACACACTCACACACTCTCTATCTCTCACACACACTCACACACTCTCTATCTCTCACACACACTCACACACTCTCTATCTCTCACACACACTCACACACTCTCTATCTCTCACACACACTCACACACTCTCTATCTCTCACACACACTCACACACTCTCTATCTCTCACACACACTCACACACTCTCTATCTCTCACACACACTCACACACTCTCTATCTCTCACACACACTCACACACTCTCTATCTCTCACACACACTCACACACTCTCTATCTCTCACACACACTCACACACTCTCTATCTCTCACACACACTCACACACTCTCTATCTCTCGCACACACTCACACAAACTCACACACTCTCTATCTCTCGCACACACTCACACACTCTCTATCTCTCACACACACTCACACACTCTCTATCTCTCACACACACTCACACACTCTCTATCTCTCACACACACTCACACACTCTCTATCTCTCACACACACTCACACACTCTCTATCTCTCACACACACTCACACACTCTCTATCTCTCACACACACTCACACACTCTCTATCTCTCACACACACTCACACACTCTCTATCTCTCACACACACTCACACACTCTCTATCTCTCACACACACTCACACACTCTCTATCTCTCACACACACTCACACACTCTCTATCTCTCACACACACTCACACACTCTCTATCTCTCACACACACTCACACACTCTCTATCTCTCACACACACTCACACACTCTCTATCTCTCACACACACTCACACACTCTCTATCTCTCACACACACTCACACACTCTCTATCTCTCACACACACTCACACACTCTCTATCTCTCACACACACTCACACACTCTCTATCTCTCACACACACTCACACACTCTCTATCTCTCACACACACTCACACACTCTCTATCTCTCACACACACTCACACACTCTCTATCTCTCACACACACTCACACACTCTCTATCTCTCACACACACTCACACACTCTCTATCTCTCACACACACTCACACACTCTCTATCTCTCACACACACTCACACACTCTCTATCTCTCACACACACTCACACACTCTCTATCTCTCACACACACTCACACACTCTCTATCTCTCACACACACTCACACACTCTCTATCTCTCACACACACTCACACACTCTCTATCTCTCACACACACTCACACACTCTCTATCTCTCACACACACTCACACACTCTCTATCTCTCACACACACTCACACACTCTCTATCTCTCACACACACTCACACACTCTCTATCTCTCACACACACTCACACACTCTCTATCTCTCACACACACTCACACACTCTCTATCTCTCACACACACTCACACACTCTCTATCTCTCACACACACTCACACACTCTCTATCTCTCACACACACTCACACACTCTCTATCTCTCACACACACTCACACACTCTCTATCTCTCACACACACTCACACACTCTCTATCTCTCACACACACTCACACACTCTCTATCTCTCACACACACTCACACACTCTCTATCTCTCACACACACTCACACACTCGCTATCTCTCACACACACTCACACACTCTCTATCTCTCACACACACTCACACACTCTCTATCTCTCACACACACTCACACACTCTCTATCTCTCACACACACTCACACACTCTCTATCTCTCACACACACTCACACACTCTCTATCTCTCACACACACTCACACACTCTCTATCTCTCACACACACTCACACACTCTCTATCTCTCACACACACTCACACACTCTCTATCTCTCACACACACTCACACACTCTCTATCTCTCACACACACTCACACACTCTCTATCTCTCACACACACTCACACACTCTCTATCTCTCACACACACTCACACACTCTCTATCTCTCACACACACTCACACACTCTCTATCTCTCACACACACTCACACACTCTCTATCTCTCACACACACTCACACACTCTCTATCTCTCACACACACTCACACACTCTCTATCTCTCACACACACTCACACACTCTCTATCTCTCACACACACTCACACACTCTCTATCTCTCACACACACTCACACACTCTCTATCTCTCACACACACTCACACACTCTCTATCTCTCACACACACTCACACACTCTCTATCTCTCACACACACTCACACACTCTCTATCTCTCACACACACTCACACACTCTCTATCTCTCACACACACTCACACACTCTCTATCTCTCACACACACTCTCTATCTCTCACACACACTCACACACTCTCTATCTCTCACACACACTCACACACTCTCTATCTCTCACACACACTCACACACTCTCTATCTCTCACACACACTCACACACTCTCTATCTCTCACACACACTCACACACTCTCTATCTCTCACACACACTCACACACTCTCTATCTCTCACACACACTCACACACTCTCTATCTCTCACACACACTCACACACTCTCTATCTCTCACACACACTCACACACTCTCTATCTCTCACACACACTCACACACTCTCTATCTCTCACACACACTCACACACTCTCTATCTCTCACACACACTCACACACTCTCTATCTCTCACACACACTCACACACTCTCTATCTCTCACACACACTCACACACTCGCTATCTCTCACACACACTCTCTATCTCTCACACACACTCACACACTCTCTATCTCTCACACACACTCACACACTCTCTATCTCTCACACACACTCACACACTCTCTATCTCTCACACACACTCACACACTCTCTATCTCTCACACACACTCACACACTCGCTATCTCTCACACACACTCACACACTCGCTATCTCTCACACACACTCACACACTCTCTATCTCTCACACACACTCACACACTCTCTATCTCTCACACACACTCACACACTCTCTATCTCTCACACACACTCACACACTCTCTATCTCTCACACACACTCACACACTCGCTATCTCTCACACACACTCACACACTCTCTATCTCTCACACACACTCTCTATCTCTCACACACACTCACACACTCTCTATCTCTCACACACACTCACACACTCGCTATCTCTCACACACACTCACACATTCTCTATCTCTCACACACACTCACACACTCGCTATCTCTCACACACACTCACACATTCTCTATCTCTCACACACACTCACACACTCGCTATCTCTCACACACACTCACACCAACGAAAGCCTCTGCGAAGGTGCAGATTGTGAGATTGGCTAGTTCCGACACTCGTGAGGCCCTCCACGTTGTCTGTGCGCAGCCCCCGGTGCAGATGCATATCACTCCCTCGACACACGCCGACAAATCGCCCCACGCTCTCCACCATCCCACGCGACCTGCCGCTCCGTGCTGGCTGGAGATTAGTGCACTGCACAGACGCTCTTTCGGGCCCGCTGCAAAGGATAACGGATCCATTGTGTGAGCCGTGAACGGGCTGTCCGGGGCAAGTGCTGTTGCCGAGCAGAGCCTATGGATATGCAAACAAACGAATTGATGTTTTACCCTTCGGGAGGTGTTCAGATGTTCAAACACAAAATAGATACCTGTTGCAAGGAAGCACAGTCCTGCATTAGCCACACGTGCTTGTCGTGAACATGCAAACAAACATGCTCTGCTCATGTATGATGCATTGTCTCTGGACCTGATTGGCCTAGACCAGAGACAGCCGTCTGTATGGCCTTGTCTCACCAGTGGCAGACCAGAGAACGCCAAAAGGCGTGTGGTCAATGCAGACTTGATTCCTTGCAAAAGGGATTTCTATTTTAACTTAAAGCTTTCGTCACTGCAGGAATAAATATTCTATGGGTCTTTCGGTAAAGCCACGTAGATAGAAAAACAATTATTTATTTGATATTATTTTTCTATCTACATGGCTTTACCGAAAGACCCAGAGAATAGGTTTCTATTTTGGTGTTTGAACGTCTTAACACCTCCTGTTTTATTTCCAGAAAGGGCAACGCCGTTTCTTAATTTCCATACTTTGATACTGGCCAAAAGCTGCCATGGTCTAGCACCTACGAAGCGTGGCACAGCGCGGAAGGGGGACGGGTGTGGTTAGATCCACGTCCGTCCGTCCGCCTTTCATCGCGGTCATATATTGGCTGTTCCATGCAGCTCCTGTCAACCCTCCCCCCCCCGTGTAACGTGGCGAGCCATCACCTACAATTGCCCATGCTCTGCGGTCCGCCAGATATTGTGGCGTTATCGGCAACTGGAGATAACAGATGCGTGCGAGGGGGAAACACTCGGTGCCATACAGATGGAACAGGTGGAGTCCCACCATTTTGCTGTTCTGCTTTCTGGAAAACCACGGTTACAGCTCCTCCTTGACGCCCACCCATGGGTAGGAAGGGAGTTTGACAGCCCATCTGTGCGGTGATCCACCAGCCCTCACTGCTGCTGCTGCTGCCTCCGCACACCGCTGGATCACAGGCAGCCCCACGTGCATCATCAGCAGCAGCGTCGCCACCACCACCGTGACCGGAGATCAAACTCGGGTCAGCAGGTCCGCGGCGTGGTGTGCACTTACTCAACTATTTTTATTTTACCGGGTAAGGCCCACTGAGCTACGTAGCTCTTTTTCATAAGCGACCTGGCCACAAATTGATAGCTCAACGAAAGTGGCTTATCACGTGGGAATTCATAGCAGCCGAATACTCGAAATCACATTGCAATTGTGAATGTGGAGGGAAAAACCGGAGGACGCGGACAATAATCCACACGACCACGGAGAACGAGAGAGACGCGCAAACGCCAAATATACAACCGGCATTGTCAGGGTCGGGATCGGACCCACGACCTGCTGCACACCAGGCGAGGTAGTTAACATCTCCGAGCCGCCGCGGCGCCCCAATCGCGAAGGAAGTCCCGAAGCGTTGCCGCGACGAGACGAGAGCCGGCGAGATTGCGTCGGTGACCCGGCGCCCCTCACCGGGAAAGCACAGCTGTGGGAGGCCGTCAAGCTCCAGCTCCCAGCTCCCGTCCGCGTGGTCCAGCGTGGAGCTCCAGCCCAGCTCCACGCTCCCCTGGAGTCCCGGGACCTCCTCGCCGCTCGACGACGACGAGGTGGAGGAGGAGGAGGAGGAGGCGGTGGTGGGTGTGGCACCATCGCGCAGCTCCCCCGGACACGGAGGGGTCAGCACGTCGAGGATGAGTGGGGTCAGCTCGTCCTGGTGGTCCTGTGGGGGGGGGGGGGGGGGGAGGCATGTGGGTTCAGTGGCAGGTACACGGGGATTGAGGGTGGGGGGATACCCCCCCCCACCACTCCATCTCTTCCCACACTCTGGGAGTCAAAACGAAATCCAGCTCGACTGTACGTTTTCACGGTTGTACCACGTGCTGCTGCTGTTGTTGGGCACGGTGTCCGACGTTTCGCATCCACGTGCTCGGAGCTTCTTCAGGAAATTAACAAACATTTCCGAGAGCCCCGGACAACAGCAACAACCGCAACCACCACTAAAATGCGCACCGCTCCAACATATACAATAGTTCTCTCTGCCACCACCACCACCACGTCCACCACCCATGGCGCAGCGGTGTGGCTGGCATGGAGCATTGGAATGAAATCAATTAAATAGCTGCCTCCCCCCCCGTACAATTTCCTCCCCCCCACCCCTCCCTCCTCTTTGTAGCCCGGTGGCTGGGCCCCAGCGAACCGCCTGCACCCTCGATAGGATTAAAGGAATGCTCCGTCGCCCTCCGGGTGAGGTGCCCTCACCTGCCCGGCGTGCTCACGCAGGCGCCGACCGCTGGCGCCCAGCACCACGCACGCCTCCAGCAGCGCACACGGCAGACGCTCACCCATGGCGAAGGTGGAGTTGCTGGGGGGGGAGGGTGAGGAGAGGCTGCAGGCACTACAGCAGTGACCAGCAGAGGCACTGGCAGGAGGGCCAGAAAGAATTCGGCACCAGCAGCACCGGCAGCATCTGTCCGCTGCGGGCACTTGGGGGCGGCGCTCTTGGCAGACGGAGCGCAGCGCAGCAAGCAGCAGCAGCGGCGCCAGGAGCACCGGCGGGAGAATAGCCACCGGCACCAGCTGCTCGGTTACCAGCAGAGCCACGAGCAGTGCCCAGAGCCGCAATGGTAGAAGAAGAAGAGAGAGAAAGAGCGGGCGAGAGTGTCCAGTAGCGGGTAGTGCGAGGGGCCGTGCCGGGCAGGAGGGTGAGGAGTGTGGGGGGCAGGAAGCAAAGGGCGTGGGGAGCATGTGAGGGGGGGGTGCAGGAGCGTGGTGGGGGGAGGAAGCAGGTGCGTGGGGGGGGTGCGTGGGGGGGGGTGCGTGGGGGGGGGGTGCGTGGGGGGGGGCGCGTGGGGGGGCGGGTGCGTGGGGGGGCGGGTGCGTGGGGGGGGTGCGTGGGGGGGTGCGTGGGGGGTGCGTGGGGGGGTGCGTGGGGGGTGCGTGGGGGGGGGAGGAAGCAGGGCGTGGTGTGGGGGGGAAACGTGGGGGGTGCGTGGGGGGGCAGGTGCGTGGAGGGGGGGCAGGTGCGTGGGGGGCAGGTGCGTGGGGGGCAGGTGCGTGGGGTGGGTCCGTGGGGTGGGTCCGTGGGGGGGTGCAGGAGCGTGGTGGGGGGAGGAAACAGGGGCGTGGGTGCTGCGCTTCCCGTTTCCTCACGCCCAGGGGCGGAGGCTTCCTCTCGTCACTGCACGCGGACACGCAGCGATAGAGACACACAGACACACCGCCACAATCACACAGACGCACAGACACACGGCCACAGTCACACACACAGACACACACAGTCACACACAGACACACAGCCACACGGTCACATGGTCACATAGACACACACGGCCATAGTCATATTCACACACTAACGCACACACACACACAGTCACACACAGATATACACAGTCACACACAGACACAATCACACAGACACACAGTCACAGACACACAGACACACACAGAGACACACAGTCACACACAGTCACACACAGACACACACAAAGTTCCCCCGTATAGCCTTAACAGACTGTAGGGACAAGTGTTGTTAGCGAGCACCTATGAAGGCCGGAACGGTACACGAGGGGGTGGGTGGCCAGCACCACGCCCGGTCGCCTTTGTTAGCCCAGTCTCGACATGTAAACACCACAGCAGACACCAGACTCATTTAACACTCAGTCGACGTAGACGAGACCCAGGAACCGGTTCAAACACTTGCCCCCGATGTTGGCCGTGAGCGTGAATCGACCCCGGGTCGCGAGGTGCATAGCGCAGTGTGCTGACCGCTACGTTATCACTCCACGCACACGCACCCAGCCTCTCTCACACACTCGCGCAGCAATAAAAGCATCTGTGAAAGTACAGATTGTGAGATTGACGACTTCCTTCACAGGCGAGAGAGAGAGCGAGATATGTGCAACGCTGGTGCCTGCACACATTTCCTGCACACAGACGCAAACGTGTATAAATATACATTTCCATAAGAGTTTTTGTTTGGGTTAAATCGCGTAAATATAAATGTCGTTAAACCGATCGCCAACCGATTGGAAGGTTTGTTAAGTAAACAGAAGAACGTGGCCAATTCGTTACTAGTACAGCATTTACAATCTGAGTACGAAGTTTCACCAGTAATTACAGCTAGCATCATCGGGCGGACAGCCAGAGATATGTTTTATGTTTTTGAAACGCACTCTGCCCCTGTGATTTTCCCCCAACAGCATCACGAGCTCGCGAGGCAGGGGGCTGCCTTCCGTCTTGGGTCACCGTCAACTTAACATTTGCGCAAATTTAGGCCGAATGAGAGACAAGTGATAGGCAGTGATAGGGGCCGGGTTTGGTGCGTAGGCCTTCGTTCGCACCGTACGTAGCCAACCCCGCTCAACGGAGGTGCGGGGGGAGGACAACAAACGAGAGCTGCGGTTCTCAAGAAATCCATCTTCAACCGCGATGATGGACGCATCGCTCGACTGCAGCGGCGACTCGTCAGTACGGGGTCGTGGGCGACGCCGCTCACTGCCGCAAAGTCTGCCTCTGGGAGCTGCGCGTGCAGTCCACGATCCGACACCGTGGGCCTCATGCAGCTCGACTGCTGGCAACTTTGATCACGACGAGACATCCCGCCCGGACAGAATAACAGTGCGCAACGGAAACCCCCACGAGCTTGACACAACAACTCCACCACCACCACAGGCGACACGTGCAGAGAGCACTCGGCTGTCGGCAGTGGCTGAAGAAGAGAGAGCAGTGGACAGAAAGACACTCTTCGACACAACAGCCGCTGGCATTCGCCACTGCGTGCCACTGACATCACCACAGCGCTTGTGCCAGGCTAGGTGCACTTTGAGGACCACGTGCAGCGTGTAAGGCTCGCTGGCAGGTCACGGGACAGACCCAGGTGCTATGGGTTTACTTGCTGAGATCACTGGCACCACCTGTACTCCCCACTGCGCCAACTGGCTGTGCTTTATCCACCCGCAGCTCCGATCGTTGTTGTGAGCGTCGCTCCTCCGCCCTCCGCTGTTGCTGGAGGGCGACTGCCTCCAACTGCCCAGTAGCGTCCTTCACGAGGCTCTTCCATGGAGGCCCATCTCAGCAATCCACTCAGCTACACGTCCTTCTGTGCCACATCAACCCATCTTGTCTCTAGCCCGTGCCGCGCCCGTTTAGCCCCCTCTTCCGGTCAAACAGAAGCTGCTTTGGCATGCGGTGACTGGACATGGGGGCTACATGACCCAGCCAACACGGCATTGCCTGCTGTAGGCTCTCTGATAATAATATTGTGCACTTGGGAATGTGTCCAGATGTTTCAAGGATCTGTGAGCTCCTCACACAATCCAGTCTGTTTAAACCCAGGATGGGTGACAGGCAGAGGCCAGCCTGATTGTTTTATGCCCACACAGCAGTTTTTTGCAAGCGTAGAGAAGAGAAGAGAGGGCACAACTGTTGCGGAACAACTCCGGAGATTTGTACGGAGTGACAGGATGTGGACATTCCACGCAGCGTTCCCGCAACCCATGGGCAGATGTCACTCGACTGGTTCGGACTGAGATCTCTGCTGCCACGCAGAGCCGCTCATGAGCACACTGCCCATGTCAAGGACTCCTCCAATCACTCCACAACTTGCCCCGTCACTCAAGGGGAGTTGAGCTTGTGGTAATGTTTGATAATATAAAATACCCAGCCAGGTGCATTGTTTTGGTTGGGCTGATGGTAAGATCCCCACCTCTTAGTAGCACACCATTACACGCATACACACGCATACACACGCATACACACGTACAATAAGCGACATTGAATAAAGACAATCACACACAGCCTCAAAGATCCCGAATATAGCCTGCAACAGACTGTCGGGGCAAGTGCTGTTAGCGAGCACCTATGAAGGCCTGAACGGTACAAAATGGGGTGGGGGTCAGCACCACGCCCGGTCGCATTTGTCTTCCCAGTGGCGATGTTTACACACTACACCAGATACTCATTTGAGGCTGAGCCGACCTAGGGTAGGCCCAGGACCCTTTCAAATCATCGTTAACGGTGTTGGCCGTAAGCAGGAATTGAACCGGGGTCCCCAGGTTTGTAATGCAGCGCGCTAACCGCTACACCACCGCTCCCCCACACACACACACGTACACACACGTACACACACAAAAGTACACACACACACGTACACACACGTACACACACGCCTACACACACGTACACACACATGCCTACACACACGTACACACGCACAAGTACACACACACACGCCTACACACACGTACACACACGTACACACACACGTACACACACGCCTACACACACGTACACACATGCCTACACACACGTACACACGCACAAGTACACACACACACGCCTACACACACGTACACACACGTACACACACACGTACACACACACAAGTACACACACACACGCCTACACACGTACACACACACGCCTACACACACACAAGTACATACACACGTACACACACACAAGTACACACACACAAAGGCCTACACACACGTACACACACACAACCACTCTCAGCACTGACGGAGTTGTTGCATCAGATCGGGAAGCACGCCGGTTACGGGGCTCCCTCGCTCCCCTGCCAGAGCGCAGGAGGGAGCTGTGCGCACACTCCTCGTCGTCACTCCTCGTCGTCACTCCACGTGGTCACACCTCGTCGTCACACCACGTGATCACACCTCGTCGTCACTCCTCGTCGTCACACCTCGTCGTCACACCTCGTCGTCACTCCTCGTCGTCACTCCTCGTCGTCACTCCTCGTTGTCACACCGCTCCTCCTCCTCCGTGACTCTCCGTGGGGCTCTGCGAGTCAAAAATATCACGCGGGAAATCTCAGATCTGAGATGTCCCGCGTGACGCCTGGGGCGCAGTGGCGGAGCCGCATCGGCCGAAGCCAGAAAACTGCCTCCTCCGCCTCCTCCTACTCCATCACTCAAACTGCCTCCTCCTCCACATCCACTCAAACTGCCTCCTCCGCCTCCTCCATCACTCAAACTGCCTCCTCCTCCCCATCCACTCAAACTGCCTCCCCATCCACTCAAACTGCCTCCTCCGCCTCCTCCTCCATCACTCAAACTGCCTCCTCCTCCACATCCACTCAAACTGCCTCCTCCGCCTCCTCCATCACTCAAACTGCCTCCTCCTCCACATCCACTCAAACTGCCTCCTCCGCCTCCTCCTCCTCCATCACTCAAACTGCCTCCTCCTCCACATCCACTCAAACTGCCTCCTCCTCATCCACTCAAACTGCCTCCTCCCCATCCACTCAAACTGCCTCCTCCCCATCCACTCAAACTGCCTCCTCCTCCCCATCCACTCAAACTGCCTCCTCCTCTTCCACTCAAACTGCCTCCTCCTCCTCATCCACTCAAACTGCCTCCTCCTCTTCCACTCAAACTGCCTCCTCCTCCCCATCCACTCAAACTGCCTCCTCCTCATCCACTCAAACTGCCTCCTCCTCCCCATCCACTCAAACTGCCTCCTCCTCCCCATCCACTCAAACTGCCTCCTCCTCTTCCACTCAAACTGCCTCCTCCTCCTCATCCACTCAAACTGCCTCCTCCTCCCCATCCACTCAAACTGCCTCCTCCTCTTCCACTCAAACTGCCTCCTCCTCCTCATCCACTCAAACTGCCTCCTCCTCCACATCCACTCAAACTGCCTCCTCCTCCCCATCCACTCAAACTTCATCCTCCTCCTCCACTCAAACTGCCTCCTCTTCCACTCAAACTGCCTCCTCCTCCTCTTCCACTCAAACTGCCTCCTCCTCTTCCACTCAAACTGCCTCCTCCTCTTCCACTCAAACTGCCTCCTCCTCCCCATCCACTCAAACTGCCTCCTCCGCCTCCTCCATCACTCAAAACCATTCCACAAACGATTCCACCGGGAGACTGATCGACCGTCAACTTTCTGAACCGGTTATCGATTCGGAAAACGGTTACCGGTTTACCGATGATTGAATAACAACTCCGATAATCATCTCATCATCATCAACCACACAGATTCTGCTGGCGATGCTGCTGCTGCTACAGCTGCGTTGGTAGTGCTGCGTGAGCACAAACAACTCAGCACACTCGTCAACAACAACAACAACCCTGTGTGTGGTCTTAAAAATAACAATATATAATAGGCGACGTTTCTGGCAACGTCCCTTCTTCAGAGCCCGCGATTTACACGCTTTGATTTCGGGGCAGTGTTCTTGATGAATGCGCAGTGTCTGAGTCTTCCCGAATCAGCCATCGGCCATCGTGGGCCCTCGTGACAGCCAACGCGCTCGGCAGTCGGGGCCCGATGCGTCCTAGCGGCAGTTTGGTCCCAAAGTCAATCAGGGCGGTTTGACCACTCGAGGCGATTACTGTGGAGTCCGGGGGGGTTTAGTCGAGGGGATTCTACACGGAACGCCTCCATCCCCGCGTGAGGCAGAACATGACACAAGTACAGTACGATGACCATGGTGGCGAAAGTAACGGCGACGACGACGATGAAAATGATGCCAGCACGGCCACTGACCTGTGTGTGGGGAGCGGTGGCGCAGTGGTTAACGCGCTGCGCCACCAACCCGGCGAGCCTGGGGCTCGATTCCCGCTCGCGGCCAACATATCAGTGTCGACCGAGTAACACTCCGGACCGGTCCTAGGTCGACTCAACCTTAAACGGTGCCTACGTGCGGTGTGTAAAAAAACCCAGCCATTTCGTGCGCCCTGTCGGCCTTAATAGGTGCTCGCTAACACCTCCTGTAGGGTGTGTTAGCGAGTTAGAGCGGTAGTAGGGTCGCGGTGAACGCTACGCTGCGCTATGAACCCGGCCACCCGAGTTCGATTCCCGCTCACGGCCACCGACAACCACCGGTGACGATTATCTGAACCGGTCCTGGGCCTCCCCTAGGTTGACTCGGCCTCAAATGAGTATCTGGTGCGGTGTGTAGTAAACATCGCCGCTGGGGAGACGAAGGCGGTCGGGCGTGGTTGCTGGCCACCCACACTACCTCGTGTGTCGTTCCGGCCTTCGTAGGTGCTACTCGCTAACAGCACTTGCCCCTACATTCTGCGGAGGCTGTACGGGGGATCTTTGCCTGTGGTGTTGTGCGTGAGGCTCAGGAACGCGGCCGTTCATTTCCCGTTACCTGCGATTGGCGCGACACAGTCGGTGTGAGCCGGGCGCCCCTCCAGTGAGCCGGTCACGACGAGTGAGCCAGTGTGTGAGCCAGTGTGCGAGCCAGGATCAGTCGGCGTGTGAGTGTGTGTGAGTGTGTGAGTAAGTGTGTGTGAGCCAGTATCAGTCGGTGTGTGAGTGTGTGTGAGTGTGTGTGAGTGTGTGTGAGCCAGTGAGTGAGCCAGTATCAGTCGGTGTGAGTCAGAGTGTGAGTCAGTGTGTGTGAGCCAGTGTGTGAGCCAGTATCAGTCGATGTGTGTGTGAGTGTGAGTCAGTATCAGCCGGTGTGTGAGTGTATGTGAGTGTGTGAGTGAGTGTGAGCCAGTGTGTGTGAGCCAGTGTGTGAGCCAGGATCAGCCAGTGTGTGCGCCAGTGTGTGAGCCAGTCACGACTCATGAGTGAGTGTGTGAGTGAGTCCCCTGCTCGTGTCGTATTCACTCAAAGAGTTGCGCAGTTGCCGTTCCACGGTTCCCGGCAGGAAACAGCGATGGGGGGGGGAAGGGGAGGAGGGCTGTGGGGGGTGGGGGGCCGTGGGTGGTGGGGGGGGAAGTGGAGCGGTGGCGCAACGGTTAGCGCATTGCGCTTCGAACGCGGCGAGACGACTTCCCGCACGTGACAGAGGTTCGCGGTTGGCATCCAGCAGCCGCGCTGCTTAACACTGCGCAAAATGAGAGTACTGTACTCGATTGTAAAACCGCATATGGCAATCATCGCCCCCACCCCCCATCCTCTCTACTGCTCAAAACTTGGTAGGACCCTCCTGACGAAGAAGAGTTGTGGGTAAACCAGAATAATATAGTAGTCATGTCTGCACCGCTCTTGGACCTCCCCTAGGTCGACTCAGCCTTAAACGTCGGAGACGTAGGCGGCCTGGTGTTGCGGTCTTAATAGGTGCTCGCGAACACCACTTGCCTGATACAGGCTATACGGGGGAGCTTTGTCTTTGGTGTCGTTGATGATGGCAATGACGGCGATGGTGGTTGTGGTGGTAGTGGTGATGGTGATGATGATAACTATGGTGGTTGCAGTGGTGGTGATGGTAGTGATGATGATGGTAGTGATGGTAGTCATGGTGATGGTAGTCATGGCGATGGTAGTGATGGTAGTCATGGTGATGGTGGTGGTGGGAGCAGGAGGACAGTAGAGCAGGAGCGAGATGGAGCTAGGAAAGAGCAGGAGGGAGCAGGAGGGAGCAGGAGGGAGCAGGAGGGAGAGGGAACAGGAGGGGCAGGGAGAAAGCGAGTAGGGAGCGAGAGAGGGAGGGAGCAAGAGAGAAGGGAGCGAGGGAGGGAGGGAGCAGGAGGGGCAGGGAGAAAGCGAGTAGGGAGCAAGAGAGAAGGGAGCGAGAGAGGGAGGGAGCAAGAGAGAGGGAGGGAACAGGAGGGAGCAGGAGGGAGCAGGGCAGTGACCAGCTGCGGGGACTGTTCACAGTGATGGGCGTCACCAGGGGGCGCGCGCGCTCCGCCCGGGACCTCTTTCCCGAACCTCCACACAAAGACAAAGATCCCCGTATAGCTGCCCAGGCAAGTGCTGTTAGCAAGCACCTATTAGGTACGACAGAAAGGGTCGGTGTGGTCAGAACCTCGCCGGATCGCCTTCGTTCCTCCGGAACTGATCATTTAGATACGAATGTAAGGCTGAGTCTACGTAGGGGAGGCCCAGGGCCAGGTCAGCGTCTGTGTGTACATGCGTGTGTGTACATTCGTGTGTGTGCGTTAGGGGGGAGCCTGGCAACACGGGTTCAATTCCCGCTCACGGCCAACACCGATGGCAAATATCTAAACCGGTCCTGGGCCTCCCCTAGATCGACTCGGCTTCAAATGAGTGCCTGGTGCGGTGTGTAAATATCGCCACTGGGGAGACAAAGGCGGGCGGGCGTGGTGTTGGCCACCCACCCCCTCGTGTGCCGTGCCGGCCTTTATAGGTGCTGGCTAACAGCACTTGCCCTTACAGTATGTTAATGCTATACGGGGGGTCTTTGTCTTTGTACATTAGTACGTGTGTGTTAGGGGAGCGGTATTGCAGTAATCAGCGCACTGCGCTACGAACCCGGTGGAGACCAGAAGTTAATTCCGGCTGGGCCTCCCCTAGGTCAACTCGGCCTTAAATATTGAAAACAAAGGTGGCTGCTCGTCACCCACTCTCGTGCGCCGTCAACTTTAATAGGTGCTCGCTTGTGCGTTTTAGCAAGTCAACACAAAACCACGTGGACCTCAAAAACTGCACCACGTCTGGGGCCACTTGAGCGGAGGTGACATCACCGCCACCTCGCGGCGAGCGGCGGCTGCTCGTGTCCTGGGCTTCCCCTCGCTCGACTCCGCATTAAAGGAGTCCCTGGCGCGGTGCGTCTACATCGCCACTTGAGAGACAAAGGCGGCCAGGCGTGGTCCTGGTCCCAGCCACCAACCCACTCGCGTCTTACTGGCCTTGATAGGCGCTCGCTAACACTTGTCCACAACTGTGTCGCAGGCTATACGGGAGGGCTTTGTGTTTGTGCCTCTCTTAACTGCGTGCCCGCTCTCCTTGGCCCCGACAGTGATTGGCAACCATCACATCAATCGACCAATCAACAAAGCAATAAATAACCAAATCAATCAATACTTCAATCAACCACTCTATCTGCCATTCAACCAAGCAAACTTAACGGTGGGTCACCAATATCGGCGTCACTACTAACAGAGTCCACCAGGGTGAGCTAAAGCCCAGGGTGTCAGACTGCACTTCGCGGGCGATCACAAAAAAACCAAACCAGGCAGTACAAAGGGTCTGAGCAATTTATTATCTGTTCATCCAGGCGAAGGGATGTGGGGTAGTTTAGTGGTCACTGCCACATCCTCCAAAGAAACACCATGCCTTGCCTTACACCATGACACACACACACACACCCTTGCCCAGGCAGTGGAAAACGAGCACCCAGAGACTTGGGTCCGTCATGGTCTGGTCAGGGTCGCACACAAGAGGTGACAAGCAGTGAGTGGCAAGCTCATGGGCCACCCTCCATCAGACACCCTCCATCAGACACCCCCTCCTCCTTCGCTCGCTGTATACTCGTGGCCAACTTCTCCACGCTCACCGAGTGTCCAGCACCACCCCCAGCACACTCGTAGCCCGCTGCTAGAGCAGCAGCAGCAGCAGCAGCACTAGCGGCATGTGTGCACCACACAGCAGCAGTGCTTTCAGCAGGGGGCACCACAGTCGACGCAGCAGCAGCAGCACGAGCAGCAGTTGAAGCTCAACGTGATCGGGCTGAGCAGATGTCCCCTCGTCTCACTTCCCGGCTCCATTGGCCCGTCTCTTCCACCACGCTTCTCCCAGCTCGGGGCTGAAGCCCTCAACAGACTCGGCCGGGCTGTTGTGGTGTTGGTGTTGGTGGTGTTGTGGTGTTGTTGTGGTAGTGGTGGTGGTGTTGTTGTGGTGGTGTTGTTGTTGCACACGCTTGACGCGTGCTGCTGAACAGATGGCCCCCTTCTGAGGCTGCTTTTCACGAGCCATCTTTAAATATGTATCGACACAATAGGTGGCACGCCTGGAGCGAGCCACCTGCTGCGAATGTGCACGGCCCTCACAAATTAACTCACCGACACAAGAGAAACATTCCTTCCACGCGTCACCTCAATCAACCAGCCTACCGACAAATCATCCTACCAATAAATAAATCAACCAATACATATTCCAATCAAACAATTAGCCAATCAAAATAGACCAATTTAGAAATCAAACAATCTAGCAACCAATTAAGCAATCAATAAACCTAGCAACCAATCAATAATCGAATCAACCATTCAACCAATCAAGCGTATTGGCGCTGTCATTTTGCATGGCTCATGACGATCATCGCGAAGGAAGCCGCTGCTGTTTCACGGACGGGTAGTGATGCAGTAGGGGACGATGTTGCACTTTGGTTCTGACAAACTAGACTCATTATTGCGGCCTGCAACAAACAGCACCATCACAGTGTGGAATTGATTCGAGTGAACGCGTTGCTTGGATGGGGCGACGCGGTGGCTGGGAGATGTTAACTACCTCGCCGAGTATACAGGAGGTCGTGGGTTCGATATCGATCCTGACGCCTGCTGCTGTATATTTGTAGTTTGCGTGTCTCTCTCTCTCTCACCCCGTGGTCGCGTCGATTTTTCTCGGGGTCCTTCGGTTTTTCCCTGCATGTGTCACGCCGACCTTCATGGGATGGTTTCGTAACAGTACTTGTCCCACGTTTGTAGAGGCTATGACGGATACCTTTGTCTTTGTGTGTTTCTGTGTTTGTGCTGACCACACTCGAATGACAAACCAGGTGTCCGGTTCCCGGCACCGGCTAACATCGGTGGACGAGTGATTATAGACGACCCTGTACTGGGCCACCCCTAGGTCGACTCGGCTTTAAATGAGTACTGGATATGGCATGTGATTATCAGCACTGGGGAGACAAAGGCAAGCCGGCCATGGTGCTGACAACACCACCCCTTAGGATTCAATGACTGCTTTAACAGGTGCTCGCTAACGACCAGTCTGTTAAAAGTCTACCCCGGGGAGTCTTTGTATTTGAATGCGAAGAGCGGTGGCCCAGTGGTTAGCGCGCTACGCTACGAACCCGACGACCCGAGTTCGATTCCCGCTCGCGACCTCTGACACCATCCCCACCACCCCCTTTCCTCTCTCAGATGTCCGCTCTAACCACTGCGCCACCGCCATACTCGCAGATAAAGATCCCCCGTATAGCCTTAACAGACCGTTGGGGCAAGTGCTGTTAGCGAGCACCTATGAAGGCCGGCACGGCACACGAGGGGGTGGGTGGCCAGCACCACGCCCGGCCGCTTTTGTCTCCCTAGTGGCGATGTTTACTACACACCGCACCAAGTAGTCATTTGAGGCTGAGGCCCAGGACCGATTCAAATAATCGTCACTGGTGTTGGCCGTGAGCGGGAATCAAACTCGGTTCGTAGCGCAGCGCGCTAACCGCGTCACACTACCGCTCCCCACACACAAACAGAAACAAACACCAACCCGCGCTAGCAGAGTTCATGGCCGCGTATTGACACAGGTGACAGATGAGACGCGGACAGGTACGCCTGGACACCTGCTGCTCGCCCTTGGGGGGAGGGGGGTGTGGGGGTGACGAACAGCGCCGTGTCGAGGCACACCACGGCCACCCCTTGTGAACGCGGCCACGTGGGAGCCCAGATCGCATCAGCTGTGCACGCCGATTCCGCGTGACCCCGGTCACAGCCCCCCGCCCCCACCTCCTCCCACCACCTCCCCGCTCCTCCCTGCTGGCTGATCCCGGCTCCCTGATCCCACTTCTCTCGATCCTTGCTCCAAAGTCCGCAATCGCTGCTCCCCGCATCCCTGCCGCCCCCTCTGCTGGCTGGTCCCTGCTCCCCCGATCTCTGGTCCCTGCCCCCCCCCCCCCCGATCTCTGCTCCCCGATGGTTGATCCCTGACGTCAACCGCTGCGTTGTCCTCTCCGTGTCCCCCCCCCCCCCCCGCTGTTCCCCTGTAGCTGCTCCCCGTTCTCAGCTCAGTCCTCGGCTGCAACCTCCCTGCTCCTTCCTCCTCATCTCAGCTCTCTGATTCCTGCTCCCAATTCCCCGATCCATGTTTACAAATCCCAGGCAACCCCCCCTCCCCCCCCCACCGCTCTTGCTCCCAGCTTTCTGCTCCCAGCGTCCGGTACCGTGCTCCCTGATTCA